TTCTCCTGGTTGCTAAACATTCTGCCTTTCACTGCCTTCATAAAGAAGGCGTCGCCATGAAAGGCAGGGTCTGCAACCAGCGCCTCAAAGCCTTCCTGAAGCTGACAACCTCAGCACACTCATTTCCACACAATTCAGTACACAGGAGTGGTTTTTAAGACAGGTATCATTACGGCCACAGGTAATATTTCTCCCATCCAAGTGCTAACCAGGCCCAACCCTCCTTAGCTTCCGAGATGAGACGAGATGGGCGCACTCAGGTTGGCATGGCTGTAGACAGGGTTTGTATTTCTAATAGCCCTTTGTATCTAACTTAAGGAGCATGGGCTTCTCATGTTCATTAAGAATATCGTTCTTATTTCTGAATTAGTTCTAAATACTCAGGTTTTTCGAAGAAATAGGTTGCATCCACTTTTGGAACAGCACTGATTACACCATCTCCCACACGATGGAAGCATGCAGGTATCTGGAGCTACAGATCCAAATGACGGCGTTGTCTTGCAAAGTTTTCTAGCCAGGTGGCAAACACAACGCTTGGCATAAGGAAAGACAAGCCGACTGTATACAGTCCCTTAACCAGCCTGCAGTCCAGAGCTGCCCCCGCCACACACAGTCTGTCGTGGGGAACGGCTGATTCGTACTCCATGGTTCATAGTAACTCATCATTGTTTACTTTTACAGACGGCTCTGCACGTCCAAGCCCACAGCAGCTCAGGCAGAGCACTCATCTGCAGGGAGCGGAGCACAGCAGGAGGGGTGTCACTCTCAGTCTGAGAGAGGTGCATGGCCAGGGCCCCTGCAGTCTGGAAAGCAGAGGGAGGGAGGGAAGAACGCACTACACGAACGCCGTGACGTGAGGACTTGTCAGTCACACTGACGAGCCGGGACAGGTCAGGCCTGCCTGGCACCGGAGACACGGCATCCAGCCTCTTGGCGACAGTGCAGCCTGCGCCCGCCCCGCCCCTCCGGCTGCTCCGCATCGTCTTCGTGGCGGCGCAAGGCCGCTGCCGGGCTGCGGCGGCACCGGCATCAGCCGCCCGCACTGCCAGAGGCGGGAAGTCGGCCCTATTCTCCAGAAAGTTCTCGGAAATGCTAATGGACATGTCAGAATAAAATCTGACACAAGACGTAACTCTATGCAAGAAAAACAATGCTCTTTGTCCTTCTGATATTGCAAAAAAGCGCCATTTTGATTTTACAATGAAATCAAGTAAAAAGGGAAAGCCATGGAGAGTAATTTTAAATTGTTTCTAGACTATGAATACAAGATCACTGATTTCTTAGCAGAAGAAAATACTTCTTGTAGAGAAAAGCAGAAAATTTGGAAAAATAAATCATTTGAACTGAAATTACCTTCAGAAGTATTAGTTCATGTTGGCAATAGTTACTCAGAGAGTAATTCAGGTCAAATCACTGATCAAATATTTCATCTGGTCATCAAGAAGCAAAGACTGTTTCTATAAAAGGCAGCATGAACACAGAGGCTGCCGGCAGGGGCCTCAGCACAGCAGCATCTCTACCTTGGGCACCACTGTCCCCCGGTGAGTTCATCTGCTGTAGTCAGATTAGAGTCCTGCTTCCTTTCTCAAGCGCTTCTTGATTTGGGATGATAAATTGGATCCCATCTCTGTGCTGGGGTCACTTTTGGAATATCACATCTATGAGGTACATGTCTATTTAATAAGTCCATGGGAAAGTAGCCTTTTCTAGGAAAAAGAAGGAGCTCTCAAGGTAACACCCACCACTCCAGACACCTGAATTTGGACTCATTTTACAACACCTAACCATAATTAAAAAGTGCCTTATGACTTTACTATATTGCCAGCCACATGAAACAAACTGCCTGTTGATCTGGCTGAAAAAGTAAATTTTTCCCCTCTTTAATGGTTGAGGACTTCCATCATTGATTATTAGATTGTGGGTGAGGAGGCAAGAATGTCATCTTCCTGAGTAAGGAAAACTACAAAGACCCTCCAAGGAACAGTGATCCTAGACTATAGACTACAGATGATTGAATCAGAAAGCAAAATAACGGTAAGACACATCTAGTCTCTAACCTCTCTCTTGTTCCAAAAAGTAAAAACACTGAGGCTCCCAGGTTTGTCTTCTCTCTCAGACTCTGCACTAAGGGAGGGGGCCATTATTCCATGCATGACCTTGTTTTATACCTAAGGAACGAGACATGATTGGACCGTGAAATCAAAATGAAAAGTAACCTTGCAACAAAATAAGTGAGAAATGGTTTTTGCTAAATGTAATCCTCGTTACAAAGACTGTCATTGAATATAGATGTGATGGTCTGGCTAACGAACTTTTAAATTTGTACCCCACAAGGTACTTCCTTCCATGTCTCCCCACGAGCCCACAGTGAGTAAATAACACTTTCTTTTTCTAGGTGAAAAATCAACATGGATATAAAATAAATGTGCTAAGTCCTAATTTCTTTCCTATATGCTCCGGCTGGTCTCCTTTAAGGAGAGGGGCATTTGGGATTTAGCAAACTCACACCATCAGACTAGACTGCGAGAGGAATGGCCAACCCCCTCCAGCAAGACAGGAACGATGTTTGCATCGTAGTGTGGGTGCCATGGAGCTGCTGCAATGCCCAGAGAAGTACGAAGAAATCCCAAGGGCCTCTTGGTCTATCTTACCACACAAAATTTACAGTCATTAATGAACATAGGTGGTAAGGTCAGGAAGGAAACCTGCATGTTCCCAGCGTGCCCACGAAAGTAGGCAGGAGAGCGTCAAGATGTAAACTGTAAGTCCGCCTTAGAGCTGTCTCAAGTTATAAATCTTTCAGCTCTTCAACTAATGTTGTCTGTGTTGTTTTCCCTAGTTTTGAGAGGTTATGGGAAATAACAGGCATAAGGCAACATAACATAATGAACTTGTAACTTTAATGAATAACTCAATGGCTAAGTCCTAACTCAGTAGCTACACTGGCTTGTGATTTGTTTTTATTCTCTGCAGTAACTTAAATTTAAATAATGGAGTCAGTTTAAACTTAGTAATAGAAAACCAAAATTAAAATTAAAACAATTATTCTTTTAAAAATAAGTACATCTGGGCCCTCCCTGGTGTCGCAGCGGGTTAAAGCACAGCACAAAGCAGCTTAAGCCACTTCCACATGAGTTCAATTCCCGCCTTCCCTGGAGGAGACCACATGGCACGGCAGACCTCTCCTGACCCGCCCACTGCTCCCCTCAGCAGTGTACTTTGTTGATCTGCCTGTCCTGCTCCCCACTCTGTCCCTGGTGAATCCTCTCACCCTCCGCATCTCTGGCCTGTACCCCAGTTCTGTACAAATAAATCTTTAAAAAAAAAAAAAAATAAGTACATCTGGCAAAAGGACTGGTGCAATAAAGGGGCCAGTAGCCTTTGCCTAAGCCACTCTCTAATATGAGACTGTTTAATCGAAATCTATTCATAAAATCTATTCTATTTCATAAAATCTGATGAAATAGCTGAGTGACTGATGCCACACTTTTAGGGTGTTCTCTTTAGCAAGCTAGAGCAATTCAATAGCCAAAATAACCCATAACCGCCTAGGCATTAGTCCAAAATCACCCAATAGAATATCATTTTCTAATTCGTGATGCTTGTTTTGGAAGTTAAATTTCTAGAAAAAGGAATGTTAAGATTTAGGCAGAAATCTGGACTACTGCCTGGCTTCGAGATTCCTGAGTAGTTTCTATTCCAAGAGACTCTTTTAAAAAGCACTGTAAACTCGCAACAGCATCATATTCTTTTTGCCTGAAATAGTGACAAGTCACAATGAAGAGTTTATGTGAACATTTTTATGGTACTTCTCGGAGACAAGAGAATTCACAGCTGTGCTTGCAATGCTTATGCACCATACATCACCTGCATACACATACAGAACACACACATAGTGCACACAGACACATACACACAATGTAAGCATGAAGCAAAATGAAGAAAAACACTACGTTGGCCCAAACAATATTTCCCCTAAGAGTACTTTCCTGGAATTGTACAAATGAGAAAAGTTCATCACCCACTCCTCCAAAACAAACACCACAAATACCTCAAACTCAGACGTCTAGACAATTTGGCCTAAAATCTCATTCACAAGGCCACTAAAATTCTGAAGCATGCTTTCTAATCTTTTCCTGGTTTTAGGAGTAAAGAAGAAGGCTTTTACTTTTTCCTAGTGTCAAAAGCTAAATTGGCCTCAATCTGTTAAAAGAGAATCTCAGTTGGAAAAGGAAAATGAGTATTTGGGAAAGCGTAAAATCCCCTAGCTTATAAGAACATAGATCAAGACTGCAGTACCTACTCGAACTTAAAAGTTGTCACCTAAATCATTGGTGACAGGAAATAAAATGTTTGCGTTCTGGCTTTATTATAGGATAGGCGTGAACACTCTTAAGATGATAACGTTCGGTGAAGCTAAATCCTAAGCCCCACAGCAGAAGAGGCTGTGATCCATCCACTTTCCCACTGCAAAACACTCTGGCCTTTTCCTGAATTTTCTGTGTGACAAAACCATTTCTGCCATGGAGACAAAAGTCATTATTCCATTAGACAAGAAAAAAAATTTAACGTGAGGTAACAAGCTAAAGCTGTACAATCAAAGCAAAATCTTGAAGGCAAGTGGCAGAAATACTCTTGGCATTTGAAGAGAAAGCGGTTCCTTTTTGGTAGTGTTCCCAGAAGGTAAGAAAGATGAAGCCTGCTTTTGGTGCCCAGCTTGTGGTTATCAACAGACAAAAGGATGGAAAAGTGGAACAACTGAATTTGGGTTTTAGATAGCTGCCAGACTGGGGCCAGTCTCTCAGCCTTAGTTTATAGAGGCCAGACACCACTTCGCATTTCAGATGGTGTGGCGCTCACCTATCAGTGGGAAAGCTTTCAGAAAGGCTGCCAAGCCGGCATAATGACGCCGTGCTGCATGCGGTCAGAGACTAACTCATCTAGCCAGCTAGAGAAACTAAAGGGCAGGGCACCCAAGGAGGCATGCACAGAATCGTTACCTTCAGCTGGTTATTGAAAATATCGATCTCCTGCAGCTTGGATCGGGTTTCTTTCTCAACTTCATCCAGCTGATCCCGTAGCTGCTGCCGAGCCAGTTCTTTCGCTTCTAAGGCTCTTTTGAGTGTAAGAAGTGAATCTCCTATTTTAAAACAAACAAACAAGGGAAAAAGCCACTGCGAGACAAGAAAAACAAACTGGCAGGCAGGAAAACTGGTGTTTATAGATCTTGTTTCACTTGAGGAAAGTCTGGTTGGTCAAAAGGGACAACTTGAAAACTAAAACACCTACTATGCAGGCTGTTTTGCTGGACTTGTTTCAGCTGGTCATTGAGTATCTGCTTTTCTGGAATAAGTCTTCCAAGCATTTGCTGAGACTCCTAACAGGACAAGGAGGGAAATGATTAATGAGTGGCTGAAGGAGGAAACTACCCGATCCAGATTCAAGGCCGAGCAGACAAAAGTCAGTTTTCTGGGTGCTCACAAATTACTAGTCTCATCCCCAATCCTAAGCAGGAAAACCACACTGAATCACCAGTGGGGGCAGCTGGTTCTCGAGAAGGAATTATCTGTGTGCCAAATGCTTTTCATTAAAAGACTAGTCACAGCTAACTTGATAGCTCATAGGTTTTGTTGCCTAATAAATAAATTGTAAGTGCAACTCAGCCAAGAAAACAAAATACTGAATGTTGAAGTGGCCAAAAGCCACCAAATGCCAGCACGGGACGCTGTTGTGTGTGAAGGAAGGGTCAGCAGTTTAAATAGGAATTATTCATTCTTTTCTAGGGCTAAACAGAGGCTTACCATATCCCAGAAGTGGGAAGCAGAAACCAAGAAGAGGTTTTTAACAACCAGAATCTTAAGTGGCATGTGTTTTCCACCATCTGGAATGGGTCTACAAGAAAGTCGAGCCTACTTTTTTATCAGACATAAGAGAACAGCTAAAACCTCACTTTGCATATAGCTGTTTGGTATTTTCATGGGGGCTCCTGCACAATATTTGCTTAAGTTCAGCTGAAATGATACAGTTTCCACACACTTTATAAAACAACTAACTTTCCAACCTTTAAGAAGAAATAATGTATTTTTACTTTGACTTGAAAGAAATATCTCTATATCTTGCTTTTTAGTGAGAAGAAATAAAAATGTCATAATTAAAAATTTCCACCACAGGCTGAGAATTAGTTCTTCCAGAGTAACTTTCATTAGCTACCTGATGTGTGATAGATCTTCATGTATGACATATCTGAATAGTAGAGATTTAGCTCAATCGAGAGGCTCTAGAAGTATCTTCCTATATGTGTAATACATACCTACCTCCCCAAAATCTACACAAAACAAAAATCTACAGGTCAGACTGTTTCCCCAAGAGGTAGTCACGGAGTTCCTCTTATTCTCATCCCTATGAGCCAATCCTGAACCAAGACTATGAAGTATCAAGGCAAAGCCTGACGTAGATAACTAAGATTACTTAATCACATACATATTATTTGTAAATGCCAACTTAAGTTTCTAAGATTAAGTCAAACCTGTGTGAAGGGGGACCTGGCTCATTTGCATAGCAGCTTCTGTTCATTCCAGAAAGGAAGGGAGCCAACATATCATATCTATGATGTACCTGGCTTTCTTGAAAACATGTATTATTTTCCCTTTCACTACTTTTTTGAGAAACCCTGACTTATATTTTATTACCAATAACTTAACACACTAAATTTCAATTGTAAATATGAAATATGTGTTTAGTCATGAGGTACTCAGTGAGATAATAAACATATGTCTCACTCTACAGTCTCACTCCTTCTGTCCCCCGACAAACAGAAGTCAAGCTTCTTGAAGGAGCCTTCTCATCTCTGCTCATCTTTGCAGGTCTCATTGCCACAAGAGAGCCTGGCCTGGCACACAGCAGCGCTGGTGAATGTGTGCTGAGTTTGTTTACATGACTATCTATTTTCCAGCGAGGAACCTTCACTTTTTATCTTGGTTTCAGGATGGATGCTTGATTCTTGTTGAATAAATAAAATGAATAAGAGAAAATACGTAAATTTAAAGCTTTCCGGGGACTTAGGTGTTCACCTGTAATTGTTGCTGCAGATGGGTGATCTCAGCAATTCTCAGCTCCCTAGATTTGTTTGTGCTCTCAATTTCTTGCCTTTGGGTGGTCAGGCGACATCTGATATCTTGAAGTTTCCCCTCTAGTTGATGCTTTTTATCATTCTTTAATAAATGGAAGATAAGAGGTATTATCACTTTTTGTGGTTCAGTGTTAATGTATCCCCAAAGCATAATCAAACTTTACTTACTAGAGCTTCTAATTCAAATTCCAAGGTCTTTTTCTTTGCTTTCAGTACAACTATGTCCTCTTGCTCTTTATTCCTTTGATTCAGTAGTTCTTGTCTTCGATTCCGTTCCCATTCAAGTTGCCGTTGCCTTTCAAGTTCTCGCTTTGCAGCCTGGGACGTACATAAAGAGGTGACTTATTAGTTTTTCCGTTCTTACACAATGTAATGTCTCTTGTCAACATAACATCTAGTGAGTCTTTTCTTGTAGGTTTAAAGTATTATTAACATCACAAGAAATTATAATACAGTATTCCTTCTATAAGACAAGGAGTATTTTCAAAGGCTATCACATTTACATGAGATGAGAACAGACAGGATTGTTTCACTGCTAGAATTTGATTCTTCATGCCTTTAAGAATGTTTAAAGTGCAGTAAAACTGCTGTTTCATTTTTATTCTTAGAGAACAAGGAAAATGTCTTTAATCTACCAAAATTAAACCAAACTCCCCAGAAAAACATACACACAAAAAAAAGCTTTCTTTCATCAAGAGTAATTATGATTTCATCCAGCAAATGAAAAATTGCTTATCTTTTAAAAATTTATGACCCATCCAAGTACTAACCAGGCCTGACCAGAAAGAGAAAGAAAAATACCAGATGGTTTCACTCATAGCAGGAGTATAATGGACCAGGCGAGAAAATGACAAGAATAATGAACAGCCATATACCAGAGACATTTCGTGGGGGTCGAGTGGGGAATGGGATCAAAAATGGGGGGGTAGGAAGGGAAGTGCACGGGACTGTGGTGATGGCACATGGGTGACTTGGTGATGGGATACCTGTGGGGACTACAATTGAGATAGAAAAAAAAATGTAAAATAAACTTATAAAAAAAAATTATGACCCAGTCTTTCTAATTTTGTCATAGAAGATGCTATGATTCCTCTGGCCATGTCAGGTCTCTTCAAAGTTGACACTAATGTCAGGTGGTCAAGTACTTGTTGGTACACCTGAGATTCCTTATTGTACTGTAATTGGTTCTCCTTGTCTGGCCTCCAACTACACTGGAAGGCAGATGGAGAAGCCTGGCACGTGGTAAACTATTAAATCAACATCCAAGTAAATCAATATCCTATTTTTTAAACACCAAAAGAAGAGAGGGTTGACTAATTTTTTGGTTGTTCATTTTGAAAATTAAAATCATGTTAGTATCTCTGTGTCTACAGGCATTTGTGGCTACAAGTATTCTCAAGTAATCATCAGATGATGAAACCCAAGTATTACTATTTAATAAAGAAAAATGCCCCATTTTTAAGATACACTTCATTCAAAATGAGAACCACGGCATTGCTATGAAAGTTCACAGCAACATTATTCATAATAGCCCCAGAATAAAATAACCCCCATGTCCAGCAACTGATTAATGACAAAAAGTGATATATCATCAAAAAAAGGAAGAAGTATTGATTCATGCTACAACTGGGATGAACCTTTACAATATGCTGAGTGCAAGTCAGACACAAAAGGCCACACGTTGTGTGATTTCAGCTATGCAAAACATCCAGAATAGGCAAACCTCCAGAGACAGAAAGTAAATAGACGGTTGTTCAGGGTTAGGGAAAAGAAAATAATTGCTGCATGAGGAGCTTTTTATGGGGTCTGGAAAATGTTTTATCACTAGTGGTGATGGGTGCACAATGTGTGAATATACTACAGCTACTGAACTGTAAGGAGAAAAGCAGCCATCTGAAGATGGCTGGAGGCGGCAAGATCTCATGCGCCAATTTAGGGGTCGCTCCACAGCTGCTCACCTCTCTCCTTTCAATTTCTTTCCTCCTCTCCTCTTCTCGCTGACGCTCCAGTTCCCGCTGCTTTTCCAGCTGCTTCTCCAGCTCCAGTTGTCTTTTGCGCTCTTGCTCCTGGCGCTCTCGCTCCTTCCTCTCCTGCTCTGCCCGCTCAAGCTGTGCCAAGCGCTCCTGCTCTTTGCGCTGCTGCTCCAAGAGAGCTTGTCTTCGCTTCTCCAGTTCCAGATTGCCACGCTCAAAATTCTCACGCTTCTTATCTTCAAATGTTACTTAACCACAAGAAACAGGACAGAAAATCAGGATTTTCAACATACTATTTTCAAAGGGAAAAAGTTGACCTATTTGGAAATTGCAGTCTAAATGAAAACCTCGACACCCACCCCAAGTGTCTCCTGCTGTGCCCTTATGTGTATTTAACAGAGACTGACTCCAAATACTTTCATTTGCTTCTTAGCATCAATTACTATCATTAGAAATTCACAGCCACCTTAGGATATTTTAATAGTATGATGGAATTATTGGTATAAATGAGGATTGTTAAAATAGGCTCAGTGAATTTAAAATAGTTTCCTGTAATGAAGGAGTTTTTATAACAGCATGAGAAAAGTACAGGTGGTGATTTTACATTCTCTTTCTGTATTGGTGCTCACCAATTTGGAATGTTTCATAGATAACACAACATTTTATTAGTAAATAATTCAACTTAATTGAAATACTTCAATTTCAATTTAAAAATTAAAACAAGGTGTGTTAGCAAAGCACATAACACCCTTATTTCATTGCAAATATTCAAATTCAAAGACATACTAAAAATGACTCCTGACTAAGGTCAGTTAAATAAATACAGTAAGAAGGTCAAAAGCTACATTTATTTTTACTATTAGCTTTGCCTTCAGGATAAAAAATCTCTAGTAAGATATAACTCAAGTACAGAGACAGTCTTACCAGGTAATTTTTTTTCTAGCTGTTGCTGTTCATCTTCTAAGGCAGGTTCTTCTGGTAACCTCTGATCTACCGATGATGAGCTTACAACAGATATACCACTGCCAGATCGAACTCTTCTGCAGTTGTCGGGGGCAGGGCAAGGAAGAAAAGAAATGAAATCGGTCCCATAAAGGGGTCTAGGTAAAACTGAGCCAATTACAGGAAAAGATTTGTGAAGTATCTTTGTTATCATGGGGCAAATTTCATTTATACTAAGGAAAGGACAAAGATTTGGTCCTTTCAATTCAACAAAGAACTCTTTAAAAATAAACATCACTGAGATTTAAAAAATGCATAAAGTGAAGAATGGTGTAAAAAAATGAAAACTATAAAAACAGTAAATCAGCATCCCCCACTCCAGGTGCTCAGTTTGTTCCCACCAGCAGCAGCAGGCCGGCTCCAATGGCCCAGGGAGCTAATAAGCCTAAATGGCCAGAACTGTGCCTGATGTGCAAGTGTTTGCTGCTGTTGTCACTGCTTTCTTGTGGTATTTTAAATTCCTCCAGAACTAAATTTCTCCAAGGGAATATAAAAAGCTCAGCTCTTACCACCCCGAACCTCTGGCCTGCACCCCAGTTCTGTATGCATAAATAAATAAATCCTAAAAATATATATAGCAAGAAACCATAAAAAAAAGTTCAGCTCACTGAACGTCTCTTTTCCCTTTACACAGTCTCTCCACTCAAACTCTCAACAGTCCCATGAGACATTTTCACCTTATAGTTGTGAAAACAAATCACCTAGTTTACCCCTTTCAAGCCACTAACCTGGCTCTTCTAAACTCATCTCTTTATGATGCTTTTTTAACATCTTCCAGGGTCATGTCTCCCAGGGATTCCCACAGGACTTTGGAGAAAAACATCCCAGCTACTAATTTATCCCACAGCCACAGTTTTCTCATTTTGCTCCTGGACGCTGACATGCTGACAGTGATGGCTGCACTTCTCTTACTTTATGTAAGTCAGTCTTCAGAGCTTTTTGATGTTTGAGCAATTAAGACAGAGTTGTTGTGCTTTTCCTTAATGTGAAAGGTTTTTAATAGAATTGATGTGCATAAAGAGAGAGGAAAGAATTTCAAATAATAGTTTCCCAACAAAACTCCAAAAATTACCCATCCCCTCAGGGGTAAATGCCCCAGCCAAAGAGGGTTGGCACCAAAGAGGCTTGGGGTTGCTGCAACCCAGAAGCTTGCCACATCTAATGGGCCTTCTGGCAGAGAACCACAAGAAAGGGGTTAGGCAGACCCCAGAAAGCTGGGACAGAAGGAAAGATTGCAAGTCCAAACCACACCACATAATCCTCCACCAGGTCAAGATAACAGCTGCCATGGCCTCTGTCAGGGATGGGGAGCAGCCCCTTTCTTCCCCATGTCTCTCCTCCAAGTTGTCTCTACAGGTCTGTCCTCCCTGCGTCTCCTGGAAATGTTTATCTGTGTCTCTCTTTCTTCATGCTCAGAAGCTCTCACTGTCTCAGGTTAAAGCCTCGAGACCCAACTGTCTGGGAGAACAAGGGGTGTCTGCATGGCACTGGCAGGCAGGACATTCCAGTCACTGTAATTCACTCCCACCGGACCTTGTCTAGTCTCTCACATCCCCACTGGGACTATATTTCAGACCAGGAGCATTTCATTCTCTTCCTGACGATAAGTAACTTCTATATTGCCAGCATTTTGTTACCTCTGGAATGTAAGTGGATATAGACTTTACAGACAGAATCTCCTTGCTTTGTTTCCACATATAGTTTGAAATAATTTCACTTTATTTGCTATTAATTTCTGATGAGTTTCAATTATACAGATTGGTGCAAAAATCGCCAACCTTTTGATGTTTTATTTGATTTACACAAATACTTTAAAGGACAGAACAGGCTCAAGATTAATGCAGAAACAAGATAAGATTTTTTTGAGTTCACGGATATTTCATTCACTTGCCAGAAATAAATATGGCTGCACGATGAGTATTAATAGCCAACCAAGTCATCTGGAATTTATGTCTCAGCACATAATCTCCCGAGAGCCAAATGCTCCTTACCTGAAGGAAGGTGGGATGTATTCTGGGGGCAGGACGGGTGGCAGGGGCTGGCCAGACATGGCAACATCAATTAGGTGCATAGCCAGGATAAATTCTTCTGCTGTGAGTTTTCCATCTTGATCAATGTCAGAAAGATTCCTATGTAACACAAAGCTAGCTGTGATCTGGCTTCATGAAGGTGCATGCTTGCTACTATTCATGAGTGATTTAAAGGTTCTAGTTTCTTACTCTGACTAGTCCAGATGAGTCTCTCTCTGTGCCTCAGTTTATTAAAATAGTAGCTATGTCATACTAATTTTGCCAAGATAAGATCACCCACGAAGCCAGAACAGTGTTCTGCACTCAAAAAGTGTTATCTATAATTGTAATATCCTGCAAGCCAATTAAGTGTATACCATTCCAGGAGTCTGTACACACCATGCTCAGCAAACCAGAGTTGGAGAGTCTCTATCAAACTGAATTCAGTCACTGATAATATGTAAATAAATGAATATGGCTATTTTAAAAACAAAACGCGGGCCCGATTCTGCTCCCTGGGCTTTAGCAGGTCTGCTAAGGTGGATCTTCATGGCCCCCAGCCAGAGTCAAGGTGTTTTTCCTTCTTGATCTCAGGATTAATCACAATTCTTCATAATACACTGGCCTAAGCAGCCAATTACAGTAAACAGATTTTTCTATCAAATCCAAGAATGTGGCTTTTATATTAACATCTCTGGAACAAAAGCTGCTCCCGAGAATGCCAAACGGACAGATGCTTCCTTGGGAGACTGGCCTTGCTCGTGCGTAAATCGAGAATCATTCTTAAATTGACACTTCCTCTGGTAGCACAAAATCATCCCCACCCCCTACCCCCCAGGTATCATTTCCACACCGGGACCATCACCCTTTAGACAGCTGCCAGTTCTAAAAGATATGCCCAGTTGTGCTCAGAGGTGCTCATTATGCACAAAACAGTTTCTCCATCACCCAAAGTGTCTTCACTTTGCGCCCAGCCCCTGGCAGCCACTACTCTCCTTCCCATCCCCTAGTTTTGCCTTCCCAGACACCAGGCATCCATTCTTACACAGAACAAACCGACACGTGGAGCCCCTGCCTCTCTTCCTTGCCTTCTACACTCCACCACAGGGCCTCTCAAAAGGCAGATAGAATTCTCATTTGTTCCCCTACCTCGCCTACTTGTATCTCATTAAAATATCTTTTCAGGAAAACAGGAGATATTCTAGGAGGAGATGTCTCAGGTATCTTTTCCAAAGAGAACAAATTACCATGAGAAATGTTTTACATAAACATTTCAACATATTCCAGTATCGTAACAACCTACATCAATGTTAGACCTTTAGTTAGTATATTTCAGAAGGTCCTAAGATACTAGTATATACTCACACTTAAAGAGGTCTGGGCACGTCACCGACATGGATGTTTAGTGGCTTGTCTTTTGTTACCAGCATTCTATCCCAGGCACCAGGAAGTGAAGAAAGTATGTCTACAACTTAGCCAGTCATGCAGCAACCCTACCAATGTGACTTGCCACAAATTTAAAAAGCTAGCACGTGATCATAGCAGACCAAGTTTATTATCCAGGTAGAAGCAATGGGCAATGTGTAACAGAGACACAGTCTCCAGAAGAAACCATCTGGTTAGCACTGGAATGCAAGGAATCCTGCAGGAGCAAGCAATGCTCACCAGTGGGCTGGAGAAGCACTGCAGAACAGAGACATTTATATGTCTCCTGATCAAGATGCAGTTTCATCTCTGATGAGGCACTGCTGAGTATATATGCAATTGCACACATTTATAATATGTACTTTATATGTATATTCTATACATACACACAGATATGTAAGTAAATAAAACCTGAACCTGAGGGGTTGTGCTCAAGCAAGAAAGACTCATTTTGTAGCCCCAGAACACTTGTCAATTTCTGGGGACATTTCTGACCGACAAAAGTGGGAGTGGGGATCTTGCTCCTGCATGTGGCAGGACGAGTCAGAGGTGAGACTGACCATCCTACAGCACACAGGACAGCCCCTCACAACAATGACCTGTCGGGCCCAAAACGTCCACAGTGCCGAAGTGAGAACCTTGCTGTGGATCAACTTATAAGAAATAGAGGCATTAAGTTAGCACCATAAGGATACAATCATTAAAGGTTAGACTGCAAGAAACTATAGAACAAAAGTTCGGGATTATTAGGGGAGGGAAGAGTAGAGAATACAAGAGGGTAATTTATAAAGCCTAATTGTTACAAAAGTATAGGCTTATTTCAGTTGATTTTGAATAAATCAACTCTAAAAAATTATGAGAACCTAAAAAATTTATGTAACATATATTAACTTAAGGATAAGGATTGCTATTGAACTTTTAGGTGAACTAATTGGTATTATGCTCGTGTTGGGGAAACAAACGTACCTCTTTTAGAGAGATAAGCTGAAACATTTATTGATGAAAATGATAAAATGACTGAAATTTGGCTTTAAATGATTGCTAGGGAGGAGGAGAGAGGCAAAAGTGGCTATGAATTGAGAATTCTGTAAGCTGTCTTTACTAATTTTTGAGAATTATATGAAATTTCTCTGCTTCTGTATTTTTCAAAATTTAAAGGGGAAATTTAAGAGAGGCAATCACAACTTACTGAAAACTAACTGCACACCACCTACCCCACTATAAATGACAGCATCAAAGACTCACAAGACCATGCTATTCTGAGAAATGAAGTTTCCATACTACACAAACTAAGGAACTTTTCATTCCTTACCAAATCGATGCCAGCTGAGCCTGTGGTAGACTTGACTGCATAAGAATAGTTCTTGCTTGGGGACCTAAACAAAAACCAGGGGAAAGAATGTAATGATGAGTCAGCAAATTTCCACTGTTCAAAAAAGACGCTGGTGCTGGGTGATCTCACACAATCAGTGCTTTATCTTTTGTTTTTACTAAAAATATTTGGTCACTTCTAATCAGTTACTGATGGCATAATAAAATAAATCTAGCTGACACTTAATCTAAACATTTAAAGTAACTCACTGAGGGATAATCTACCACATACTGTGTTAAGTCTAATTGTCAAAATAGCACCTTTATTAAAGAGGCAATCACAGCACCTTAAACGAAATTTGCTACTACCCCAGGAAATTAAGCCGCGATAGGAATAAAAAGACGGGGGAATGCAGAGCACAGCACAGTAGCCAGCACATCATCATCGAGTTTGTATTAAATGTGTGATTAATGAAGAATGAGGATGTAAAAGATTAGACTTTCAACATATAATCTCTCCTTTGTCCAGATACCAACTCTCTCCTATCAGGTTCTATTTACACAGCTGAAATTTATTCTCTCCATTTGGCATCTTCTGCATCTGCCTGCTGTTTCCTCCATAAGTACCATCAGACGCTCAGGGAAGATTCAGATAATTGTAGAGAGAAAAATCGAGGTTAGAGGGAACTCTTCTAACCATTCCATTCCACGGACTTCTAAAAAGAAATGACTTGTCACACAAATGCTACCACGGCCAGGACTGGGCGCATTTCCTATGCTGGCAATTAGAAAGGGTGCTGGGAATTTCAGCTCTTCTCCTCGCCACATCAGTTCTCATTTTCTTAAGTACTTATATCTTTATTTCTGGCATGAAACTAGCTTTCATTATCTGACAAGCTATAGTGGAAGCTTCCAAGGGTTACATTAACCACTGCCGAAGACAGAGACAAGTAAGTGTGACTGCCAGCATGGCCTCCTGAGGGGCAGTCCCAGGATGACGAATGGACCGAGAAGGGGAAGCTGCAGCAACTGCTTTGGAAGATTCCAGGACACAGGTTTTGGCTATTTATTTTTTAAAGGGCACTTCATTAAACACACACATACAGTGGTTGTGTTTTGCACAGCTGGGATCAGCTGTTAGCGATCTCTGAGAATCTCTGCAGGGACCAAACACAGAAAGTTCCAGAGAATAAACAGCAGAGGATGTGCTCAAGTCCAGAAGCCCGGTCTGGGTTCAGTCTGGGTGACTTGCAGCAGGTAGTTTTTTCAATGTGTTGGACCCTAGTTTTCTCATTTCAGAGGACCCTTCTGAATTTACACATCAGCAATCCATCGTGTAAAAGACACAATGTGGAGCTCAGCATGGAGCTGGCACAAAGAGCTCAATAAAGCGTGCTGTTGTTATTGACAATACTCAATTCTTATGCATGGATGAGCAGAAAAGTGCATGTTATAGACATGGATGTTTACATGGATACAATCTAATTCTGCAGACTGCAAAGGGTCAAGTGGAAGTGTCCTCCAGTGACACAGCCCCTCTCGGGCTCCCTCCTGACAGCCCTTCCCACCAAGTGCAGTGGACCCCTAAGTGCAGAGAGCGCTCTGCTGGCCTGCCTCCTGCATCCCACGTGACGCTGTGTGGCTGGGCGCCCTGGAGAACAAAGACCTAACTGCTCTCCGGTGCACTGCTGTGTGAAATGTCACTACCCATTCACTGCTGGCACACATTCAGGTGGTTTGGGGCTTGGGACTATAAGTTTTGGCAAATGGGTTTGTGTGTGCATATTGGCAACATCTGAGAATCATAACCTCTCTTTACTGCGTTAACATGAAGTTGCAAAGGCTCTGCGGCATAGAGGAATGGGGAGAGCCCACTGATGCTTTCACATTGTACTTACAAGGTTGGCAACATTAAAAGAGAAACAGCAAAACTTCAGTAAAGCCTTAATTTATGCTGGTAGCAATGTTCCTCACTTCAAAACCACATAAAAGAGAGTCAGTACTTCATTGATTCCCACCAAAAAGTATAACAATAAACGAAAAGCCCTGGACCTGGAGAGCGGGAGATGTGGTTGTCTGTCCAGACTCTTCCCACTTCCTGACATGTGACATTAACAAGATTGCATTCCCTCTATAAGAGGAAATGCCTGCCCCTCTGAGAGGAGGGATGACAATAGAACAGGGATTGGAAAATCACAGCTCTAAGGCCCTAGCTGACCCACTGCCTGCTTTATAATTGAAGTTTTCCGGAAACATAGCCTGGCCTGGCCATTTAAGCATGATACAAAGTTGCTTTTACACTACAGTGGCAAAAATGAGTGACTGCAACATCATCCCGCAGCCAAAAATGTTTGTTATCTTGCTCTTTAGGGAAATGTTTATTCACCCCTGCACAGGAAGACCACAATTATCTTTTGCAATTCTAATACTTGGTCTGCATGTCCTAAGGATGTGAAACATTAAAGTAGTCAGCAAAAGCTAAGATACCATCTTAGCACAACAAGACAGCATGCAGTTGAGTTCTGCTGCACAGAACTTTTTGTGGAAGTCTAGATCATAGCAGATTATCAATTCTGGAGCACTGGCTTATCTGGATAAAAGGATTCCCACAAATTCGTAAACTCTACAATGTGCATTCACATTTAGGAAGTGTGGATGGAGAGGACAGAGATCATTAACTACAGCTAGTTAGCCTTATGTCTAACAGCGCTAAGAGTGATCACTAGCATTTGTGATTTTTGCATGAAGAGCATATACATGTTCCAGGACACAAGAAGATAATAAGATCACTCCTAAAGAAGGGGTTAGCGATAACAGGATTATCAGGAACTCTAGAGCTACTTATATAATGTTGACTAGACCCTCTATCTGATAAGACAGTCTCTTTAAGAGCATGTAATATATTCACAGTGTGTCCACGTGATGTGACGGAGCAAGCAAGCCAGCCCAGGGGCAGTGGAGTACATTAAACCTGACGGGCCAGCCTGGCTTCTCACAATGGACCAGCTCCCATCACGAGCTCAGAGCCTTTTGCTTGGGATCAATCAGTGGATTCTTATGCCCACAACAGACATGTAAGATGTAGCCACAGTTTGACAACACCCAAAAGAAATTCGTGGAAGTGAAACACAAGGGTGACCAGCAGCAGCACAACGGCCCGCACCGAGGCGCCAGGCTGCGGTTACACGCAGTGGTGGGCGCTAACCGCAATCCAGCCCCCACGAAGCACACACGACGTGAGCAATGAGCGGGATGTGTGAGGAGAGTCTGGAGTCTCCCTTCACGAATGGTAAGGCAAATGCTCTAAATGACAATTACAACTCAATAAAGTTGGAGAAAACAAAATTTCCACAGTTCCTCTACTTCACCTGGCATTCAACTCCAAGGATGGCAGCTATTGCATTAGATTACGAAATTACAACTATCTACAAGTCTTAAAAATGCCTTTAATTCCACTTGGTGATGGGAAACCTGCAGGGATTACAATTGACATGGAAAAAAAAATGTACAAAATGATGTAAAAATAAACTTCTGTAATAAAAAAAATGCCTTTAATTCCTTTAAATCAAGAGCCCACCGCCCCACAAAAGGAAAAGAGAGATAAATATCAACTTCCTTGATATTTCTTCTATTCCTAAAGTGAACATGTAACTGCTTTTAAGGTTCAGGATTCAATAATTATCTTCAGAGTTGTAATAATGACAATGATCTTTGTGTTTCACCCATTTCAACAAACCAGCTGTTTTCATCATTGCCACCTGAACACACCATATAAAAAGTGTCCTCTATAAACCAAAACCAACTGAATTTCTTTTCTTTCTACTTTTCAATCTACTTGATGCAATTATTTTCATTTGTCATGACTTAAAAACTGGTCTGAAAGTAAAGTTCTCACTTTAAATTCTAGCCTGGATGAAGCAGTGTTACGAGTACAGCTCAGGCCCTCCCTGGTGGCACAGGGGTTAAGTCTCAGAACTATGAAGTGAAGCCACCAGGCTGCCACTACAGCACGAGTTCGAGCCCCAGCCAGGGAGTGACCCACAGGGCACAACAGACCTCTCTTCTCTCACTGCTGCTCCCCTCACAGCAGTGGATTTCAGTGAATCTGCCTGTTCTTCTCCCCACTCTGTCTCTGCTGAGTCCTCTCACCACTACCACCACCCCTGCCACATCTCTGGCCTACACCCCAGTTCTTCTACATAAAAATAAATAGAATCTTTTAAATAAATTTTTTTAAAGTGCAGCTTAACCGCAGCACAACCTGTGCTCCCGAGTGTGTTTCAAATTTACTTCCTGCCTCAGGTATGGAAAGATATGGACAGTCAAGTGCCTGAGCCAGGATCTTTGGGATGTAAACACTGTTCTTCAGGCACAAAATATACATACTGCTGAGAGAGAAGCTTCAATATCCTATCTGCGTACTATTTTAATGAGTTCACAGCAAACACCAGCAATGCATTGAAGAAATGTTCTCAGATTCACTAGCAATGTATGGGGTCTGTATTGAGCTCCGGTGTCAAACAGCCATACTATACCATACTTAAAACTGCAGTACTGAATACTGCTTCAGTACTGTCCAATTAGCTGGACAGGTCTCCACTCTGTCTCAAACCCACCAGGACTGCCTGGGCACAGCGGACAGACGACAGTGGACGCTGGTCACTGGCCCCTTCAGCTACAGGTGTTGCTTAGAGGCGACTGCTGAGACTGTAGGTTAGAGTTCAATATTAGATCTGAACCCTTCCAATTTGTGCCCAACCCCAACACTTTAAACAGGGATGAATTTTTCTTTGGGGAGTAAAAATTGCAATTGTAAGTGACAGCAAAATAGTGTAAGGACCAGAATCCAATGTGCTTTGTGTTGTGTGCCATGCAGACTCCCAGCCCAGGAGAGCCAAGCTGCTCTCCCTTGCTTTCCCATTTGTTAAAGGACGTCACATTTTCCCCTTTTAGATTTAATATTTGTATTAGAGGTCTCTATTTTCTTTCACTCAAATTATGCTTATCTTTATAACTCTCAACATAGTAAGTGTTGAACACCCTCATTAGAAAGATTTCTGCATGATATCATAAAATCCTTCCTAACCTTTCGGTGACAGGATCTTTTTTTTCTTTACTTACTAAGCTCACATAACGTAACTCTGGCCTTTCAGAACTGAAGAACTAGATCCAACTAGGCGACTGGGCAACGTGACCTAAGCGGCAGAGGCAGGTTCCAAAGTTCCAGACCGGCTTCCTTTGGCTGCGCCCTGCCGGTGGCTGCGCCCTGCCAGTGGCTGCGCCTGCCGGTGGCTGCCTCGGAGCAGGGAGTTCCAAGTTCAGCAAGAAAGCCGGAATGCAGAACTTGAACCAGTTTTTGTTTTCTGAGTTGCTTTGATTTGCATGCTAGTGGCTTTTGGGGTACAGGAGGATTGTGGGTCTGCGACCCATTTTCCCAAGAAACACTGCGGTGAAAGCCTGAAGGCACTGGAGAAAAAAACTAGCTACACTTTTATCAGTAGTTAAGAACTTAAGAGGGAAAGTGAAAACCCCACTTCAAAAACAGCAAGTAGAGAAAGACTTGGAAACTACCTTTGGCCCAAAAGCTGGAAAAAACTCCCAAGCAGAATAAACGTTATCGTTCACCCAAACAGCTCTTCGTAGTAAATACCTGTTAAGTGTCCACTCATAGTCTTGTCATGACTGTTGAATAATTGCCTGTACTTCAGTCTGGATGACTGAGGAACAGCCCATTCTGCCCCTGGGGGTGCACTGTGGGGAGAGAGAAAGGAGGGGAGGGAGAAGGATTAATCAACAGGAAAGGACAGCCTGAGGAAGTTCTTTAAAAACAGGAAACCATCTCTATAAAGAACATCTCCATAAAACCTGCTTTAACATTTTAGCCATTTTTCAATCATTATTTCTGTAATAAATACTTTCCATTTCTTAAGTTATGTTTTCTCAAAATGGAGCAGCTCACTACTTTTTCAGAATCAAGGATAGACACCACAGGCCAGGTGGCTGTTTCAAGTTGTTCACACAACGCAATCACTGAAAGGCTCAGCAAAAGTGTGGAAAATCTCCTTGGTACTGAGGCGAGAAACAATGTCCAGACTTTTCTAAACTTCTGGAACAGTCCTCTTTTAGTTTAAAAGGGAAAGCGAACAGCAAAGTACCTTTAGTGGTATTAACTCCTTAAAATGTTAAACATTCTACCACCAAAAGACAAGAAGGACGCACATCTCCACAACGGGACTTTTGTCCTACCAGAAAATTGAAAGTCCCACACATGAAGGGCGTCCCAGGGCGGGAGAGTGGGCAGCACTCAGGGCAGCACAGAGCTCTGCTTTCCTGAGCCTGGTCCAGAGCCGCCTCTGCCTGCCAACACGCAGCTGGTCTGACCTGAGGCAACCCCAGCAGCGCCATGCTGGGTCTACACCTTGTGAGAAAGGACTTGCTCAGATCTGTTCCCACGCCGATGCCCTGTGCTGGTTACAGCCTGCAGTCTCACAGGGGCAATTTAGTCACAAGGACTGAGCTGATGGGACAACAACAACAAAAAAAGGCAAAAACACCCACCACGGATTACAACTAACACCCCCAACTGAAATTCCCTTTCATTTAAAAAAAAACAAAAACACCTATTTTTCACATATAAAAGTAAAATTTTAATCATAAATTGAAACTCTTAGCCATCATTTACGCGTTATCAACATACTTCACATTATAACATTATAAAACAGAGGCGCCGCCCCAAGCACTTTTTTCAGAATCAAGGATAAACACCACAGACCAGGTGGCTGTTTCAAGCAATGACTTCGTAATGCCCTTTTTTAACTTTAACCATTTAATTTAAAATTCACCATTTTTATGAATTTCTTAATAAAAAAACACTTACCAAGACCTTTTTTGCTGTGTGAAATTCTGCAACAACTCTCTCATTTTTAACTAATGTTTTGCTGATTCCACCTTCTACCCATATGTCAGAAAGTTGATTATCTTTCTCTCGCACCCCACAACCATAGACTGTCCCACACAGGAGGTGTCCCAGATTACACTTATCAAGTCAGAACTTTCTGCCAAATTCCTGACAATTTAAAAGCACTGAAAACACATCCGTTGGTAACCAAAAATAGATGCCACATTATAAAAAATTTGCTAGAAATTTAAATTATTGAAAAGAAGACTGCTTGAAAAAACACAGCTGTCTTAACTGCATGAACACTTAATAATACTGATCATTCATTCAGCTTTAAGACAGATTTCAAAACTCCTGTGGAGAGTCAGAAAAAACTTCCCACCTCAGAATGGAGGAAGAATTAACACAAGGTGGGATTCGGTGTGGACTGTGGCCTAGGGCTGAGGTTCCTGACGACTCACTGGCTTGACAGCCTCATGCATGATCCTGAGACAACACCTACTGCCTAGGCGACTGGGCTACGGGATGAGTGAAGTGTCTGCCACAGGAGATGCTCGAGAAAGGTCCTTGAGTCTTCGGAGCAAAGCCTAACTGAAGGGGGGCATGCACCCGCGTGCCTTCAACCCAGAAGGACTGCAGTTAGCTCAAGGCTCAGCCACCTGATTCCTGACCCCGAGCCAGCCCCAAGCATCTTCCTTCCTGCCTACCACGGAGAGAACATGGGACAGGCAGCTTACGAGGAAGGAGACATGCAGCCGGTGGGTTAAGGCCATGAGGCGCTTGGGCTGGTGCTTTTCAGTTTTGGATTTCCTTTAAATCATTTTTTTTAATGTAATGAATTATTGAATATATTCAACACATTCTACTCTCTGAATAGAAATATGATTGACTCACGTAGGAAAGATTTCTAACAAAGACTGGCATTAAGTTATACAGAATCATCTTCATTCACATATTTATCATGCCACAGGTTTTGAGATGACATAAGAAGAGACTTCATTTTTTAATCTTAATGCATCAATGTGCAAGGGAAAATACTAGAGAGGAAAGTACAAAAATATGGAAGATACTACAAAACCAAGCTTGGACTAAATCCAAGCTTGGACTAAATCTAAGCAATCAGGTCATTTTTCAAAACTGAGTCACAAAACTATTAATAACGACTGCCACTAATCTGAGTAATTCATTACACAAAAATTGGTCTTAAATTAGGATTTTCCAACAATCCAGACAGTTTCCATGAGGTCATCTGAGATGAAGGCCAGCTATGTCTCTAATGCCATACAAAACTGTTTACACATAAGTCAAGTCACTAACACCAAGAAGTTAATTTCCCTCTCTTATTGTAGGGTGTTCTTTTTTATTATTATTATTTTAAAGCAGTTATTGCTACTTATAGCACAGGCAGTCTTTAAAGAAAATAACACATGGTAGATTTCTGACTGCAAAAATATAAATAAAAATAATATTACCCAGAATAAAGGAAAGTACTAGCATGCTATAAAATAAGATCGTGAAAAATACAGCTTTAACCGAGTTGCCCATTTAAAAACAAGCAAACTTACCTAGCCACATCAAATGATTGTGCCTTCTGTAATTTAGTGTTTAACTGTGAACCTGGACCAGATCTACTAAAGGAAGAACTCTTTGGCAATGTGGCTGCTGTAAAAAATAAATACATGGTGAATAATTTTAATTTTACAAGAATAAGACATTTTCCCCTCTGCACAAAACTTAAAATGCATAGCCATCAAACCCAAGGCAGAAATTATTCTTCCTTCTTTCCACCCTCGACTCAAAGATTTATTTTTCATTGCTACCTGACCTCTCACCAAAAATATTTCTAGGTTTACTTGTTCCTACTGAAAACCCACTTACTAAGTAGTAAGGTATATATTCCTAAAATTCCCTTTATCTTTTAGCATTTAGCATCATAGGAATACAGAACCTATTTCAATAAACTAAGAGCCTAAATATCAGCCATTTTCCTTAACTGCACCCAAGAAGATGACGTATTAGTTCCAGATGGAGGAACCAAGAAATCACAGACTTGCAGCCTTGGCCAGGTAACACGTGACGCCAGCGAGGTCAACTTTTGTCTGATTCTCATTCAGGCTGGTTAGCTGTGTGTCAGAAAAACAAGGCTGAACCTTAGCTATATTCCTCTTTCCCTGCTGTCTCACAGCCCTGTCCCAAGGGACAGAAGGAAAATGACAAAGAGTCATGCAGCCTCCAATACCGGAGGGAAACAACTGCCAGGAAACAAGTGACCACCATCACATCCACAATCACTGCCATGTATGAAAGATGTGCGGCAAGTGACAAGAAGTTCCCCAAAAAGGGAACATTTAGATTCCTTGTTTGTCACTCAGAGACATGGCACAGTCCAGGGAGTACATCCAGGAAGGAGCTAGGTACAGAAACCGTAACTCAAATACAAAGCAAAAACCCATGTCATTACTCAGAGATATACTAAAGCACTTTAATTTCAAATACTGTAATACTGTTCTGTATTGATATGAGTTCATTAAGCTTTGTTGCCTAAGGTGGTTTGTATTTACAGCCCATGCTTTCTTATAACTTAAGGGGGAAAATCTTGGAATAAAGTTCCGAGTTGAAATTAATGAAAACAGGAACTTTTTAATCCTTTTACTCAATGAAACAAGTACTACTTGTTTCATAATACTACAGCCTTAATTTATAGTCATTTAATAGACTTCCTTTTACTTTGCATGAATCACTCCACCTCCTCAAAAAAAAAAAAAACCAATGTTCTTTGTTTTCCCCACAGTCACATAATTCTACTCCTAAGGGACAGGCTTACTTATTAACAATTCATGACAGCTAATAAAAAGTAGTTAACGATACAACAAATACAAAAGGTGCAAATATTGTTCAAGTTTCATTTGCTCTGATCAAGCCCTAGAAAGGAAAATACACTCTTGGTTTTGGCTTTAACTTCACCTTTGTCCAGAGTTCCAGAATTCCAGTTTCATAATTCCATTCTCCTTTCCCTCTCTCTAGCCTAACACATTCCTTTTAATGTGTTGGGAGAAAAAATGAAAAATGAAATTAAAATAATGAAGATATTTTTCTCTGGAAAAATACCATTTAAATATAATCAGAAAGTGAAATCAGAAGATTTAATAATGAAGAATAAAATACAAGTTGTAAAAATTCGGCCTAGGGTTTAAACTGGTCACATACCAGAATGAGCAAATGCAGGCAGAGGCTGTATAACAGGGGGAGCCCCATTCGCCAGGGGAGGCACTGCTGCTGTAGGAACAGAAGAAACTAGAGGTGGAGACATTCCAACGACTGGAATGGATCCCATTGGCACTGGAGCAACAGCTGTAAGCGGTGGCATGCTGGCGATACCTCCTATACCTGTGAAAGAAAAAAAAAAACAGAATTCACAATGAATTAGTTGTCAAACATTCCCCTTTAAAATCTGAATTCAGATAAATCATTCTTAAGAGTACCGAAAAGTATGTCAAGGATCACTCAAAATGACTTAACACACAACTTGAAGAGGGATTTACTGACCAAAGGTGAAAGGTCAAGAAGAACAATAATTGCTCTGGTCTGAAGTCAGCAAATAAAATTAAATTCACATGCAAGAGGATCATATAAGATCATTTGTATGGGCCTTCCCTGGTGGCGCAACAGGTTAGGACACAGCACTGCAAATTCTCTAGCCAGTGAGCTGACCCACATGGTGCAATAGCCCTCTCCTGTCTTGCCCGCTGCTCCCCTTAGCAGTGGAGAGCCTGTTTCTGCTCTCCACTCTGTCTCTGGTGAATCCTCCCACTACCCCTGCACCTCTGGCCTGTACCCCAGTACTGTATGTATAAATAAATATATCTTCCAAAAAAAAATCACTTGTATGTCCTTCTAAAAGAGGCTACCATCGAGAGCTATCAGCTATGATATGTAAAGTCAGGATAACAGCCAAATAACTGCACTAACTAGAGTCTAAAGCACTGAGATCTTGACAAGAGCAAGTATCTCAGTTAGGCTCCCTACTCATAAGCTTAGAATACTTTATCCTGCAAGGCTATCATTCAAGACAAAAAGAAGGATAAGGAAATTCACTGAAAACTAAAAAGTATAAGAATATAGCAATACAAATGCAGACATGAAAGAAATATTAAAGAGGCTATCATAAAGCAGTAATAAAACAAATAGAGATGCAACCTCTACATTATATGATATAGAGAAGATGAAGGGCAAAAATATAGCCCACCAGAAATGTGAGATCACACTACCCAACAGGCCACAAAAATAGCCCAATATACACTAACCTAAGAAGTACCTTCAAAAAAAATCTATGACTATAACACATAAACAATGAAAATGTAAATTTAAAAAATAAGTAAATAAAAGATATCAAAAACTAAGGAGACAAATTTTAAAAATTTGTTTAACAAATGGCAACAAGCACATCTGACTCAATAATCACTTTAAATATACAGGCTTAAATCGGCCAATTAAAAGGTATAAAGTAACTTGAATAGATTTTAAAACACAGTCCCATCTTCAGATGTTTAAAGGAAATCCACCTTACCAATAATGACAAGCACAGAAGTAGCATTAAAGGTTGTAATCTACAAACAATGTTTTCAGTCAAAAAAGTCAGAAACAAGTATACTTATTTCTGACCCTCCAATTATAAAGGGTAATAAAAAATAGACATTTCATTATGATTAAAGACCTAATACAATAAGAAAAACACTAATAAATATATATGCGTCAAATAATAGAGCATCAAGCTATATAAAGCAATTATTAATAGAACAAAACAGATATTTACAACACAATAATACTAGGTAATTTTAATACTCTACCTACACTAGGGAAAATCAACAAGATAGAACATAAACAAAGGAAACTGAGGAATTAGACCAAACAGACTTAGTCACTCCATCCAAACACCACTGCATATACATAGAGCACTAAAAACAGAGCATATGTGGGATCAGTTATCTATAAAACTACAGAGTCTGAAAACATTACTAAGTACTCTAGCCATAATACCATAAAGCTAAAAATAAGGCTTTTTTTTTTTTAAAAAAGATTTATTTATTTATTCATACAGAACTGGTGTACAGGCCAGAGGTGAAGGGGCGGGGAGGGCATTCACCAGAGACAGAGTGGGGAGCAGGACAGGCAGATCGAGGGAGTACACTGCTGAAGGGAGCAGTGGGCAGATCAGGAGACGTCTGCCGCGCCATGTGGTCACCTCCAGGCCTGGGGGTCGAACTTGCACTGAAGTGGCTGCGGCTCGCTTGCAGTGCTACGTCCTAACCCGTTGCACCACCAGGGAGGGCCAGCTACATTTTTAACTTGGAAAAATCATAACAGTATAGACACAGAAAACATGTTTGTTAATAGTGATTAAATTAAAGATACCTTAAGATTAATGAAACTTAGTATACATTATGGATTACAGCAAAAGCAGGTTTAGCCAGAAGATAACAGCAATACAGGTCACAGTATGCAAGAAAAATCCCAAATAAGCAACTCAATAAGATGAAAACCATGAGACATCATCTCATACCCATCAGAATGGGTACATATTAAAGAGATCCCAATAAGAAGTACTGGAGAGGATGTGGAGGAAGCTTAGTACATGGTTGGACTGTAAACTGGTATGACCATTTAGGAAAGTAATGTGGATGGATTTACCTTAAAAAAGTAAAAATGGAAAGACCATGTGATCCAGCGATCCTAGTTTAAGCATATATCCAAATAACATGAAACCATCCCACTCAAAAAAAAAAAATTATATGCACTACAATATTCTTGCAGCATTATTTGAAATAAATCAGACTTGAAAACAATCTAATTGTCCACTGAATTATGACTGAATCAAGAAGATGTGGTCTATCCACACAATGGAATACTGTTCAGCCATAGGAATGATGAAATGTTGCCCATTACAGTTAAATGGAAGCAGTTTGAGGGGATGTGTAGTAAAGCATGTCAGAACAGCAAATATTGGGATGTTTGCATTGATGATTCAACAAAGCAAAATACTTATAAAAGTCAGTTGATGCTGGGCCCTCCCTGGTGGCACAGCGGATTAAAGCACAACACTAAGATGTTAAAGCCACTTCAGCACGAGTTCCATCTCTGCCCCGAGGTGACCCACAGGGCGCGGCAGACCTCTCCTGACCCACCCGCTGCTCCCCTCAGCAGTGTACTTCGTCAGTCGGCCTGTTCTGCTCCCCACTCTGTCTCTGGTGAATCCTCTCACTGCCCCTGCACCTCTGGCTTGTACCCCAGTTCTGTATGCACAAATAAATAAATCTTCCAAAAAAAAAATCAGTTGATGCTAATATAATGAGTTTTCTGAGGCTAAGAGGGAAGAGGGGAAGAAAGAGTCAAGGGCAGGACAAAGTATTTTAAGTTCTACAATTCAGTGCCCCCCAGAAACAGAAAACATTTTCGAATCAATAGCTGAAGGGGGGGGGGAGTGTTTTCCGAATTTTGGCTCTTTATTGCTGAGACTTTAAAAGTCTGATTTGTGTTGGTTTTTCATAACTGTAACATTCTCAGTATCCTTTAGCTTGTTATAAAATGGCAGATGACTTGCCTGCTGTCCAAGGGGAGTTATTCTTTATCCTCTTTTTTCTAGTAATAACTGTGAGTGGGATCTGACCTTGCCTGAAAGTGCCTGTTGCTTATTCTTGTGTTGGCCTTACTTCCTGGGATTTCCAACTACCATTTTCCTACCCCATGTTGATTAAAATATGACCTTTTCTTTAGTCTCTAGGTAGCTGCCCTGCTCAATTTCTGTTCCACTCCCAGTCACTTCTCAGAGTTGAGTCCTATCCCAAAAGAAGTCTCCCCAGGTCTTCAAATGGCTGTCATGTACATAAGCTCAAAAGGCATGTTCTCAGAATTCATCCTGATCACCATGTCCCATGGGGGTGAGGGTTTATCATATTACCCCATTTATGCAATTGACTGCACCTGTCTCTCCCTAGAATGATTTATCTATTTATTGCTTCACGCAACATTGCATGAAGGTCCATCATGCCAAGAGCCATGTCTCACTCACCACTGTGTCCCCAACAATTCCAACACACAGTAGGGGGTCTTCAAACTATGATCTAAAAATTCAATAAAATCATGGATTCTAGCCAAAATCACAAGAACAAAAAATCATGCAAAAAATAAACCCCACCAAAATAGTTGGATGCAGAGTAAGAGGAGAATTATTCTATGTGCAAGAGCACTGAAGAAAGACACAGAATTCCCCAGAAGACAGCAGGGTGCCCCTGGGCAAATCACTATACCACTTTTTTTTGTACCCCATTTATTCTTAACACAGGGAATTCAACACAATGACTGCTCAAGTACCAGCCAGCCAAAATTTCAGAGTGATAACATCTTCATTAATACCCCAGAAGAGTCCTGCATGATGCCTGCATGGCATGGCAACAATGAAGTCCAGCTTCATTAGACAGAGATGGAGATGAGGAAACTGAGGACCTTCAGGAAAACTGGGTTTGGACAGGCTCCACCTCCATTTTTAGAAATGTACTATTAAGCAAACTGCTCAACTTCTTGGAATTTGGGTTCTCTCATTTATGTAACAGAACTAATAATTTCATCATACTTTTAGGATTATTCTTGTGTCCAAATAAAATACTACAAGTGCAGGTCCACTGTGGAAGGGCTAGCAAAGGTTAAGTTAGACCACTTTTAATATTGATTAGAAAATCACGATAACCATAATAAATTATTTTGTTCTGAAAGAGCTAAAGAAAAACGATGCACCCTTGAGGTGAGACACAGAAACAGAAGTACTAGCAACAGCCAGACCTTTGAATGAACGTGGGCAGGTGCGATTAGGACCGTGCACTCCTTACTATTCTTTCTTGGTTTATCTTTTTGAAAAAAGCTTCCTGAAAGCCTGCACTTTTGTGAGGAGAATGAGGTGAGGAGAGGTTGAGGAGAGGCCCAGCGCAGTGGACTGACTAGCAGATCGTCAGGTCAGAAACCCCAGAGCACCCAGTGGCAGTCAGACATCACAGGACTGGAAAATGTGGTGGGCAGTGAAGCTGCACCATTTTGAAAATAAAGCAGCAGAGGAGAATGGAAGAAGAGGAGACAGAATAAATGTAGGAGGGAAAGTTACTGACACAGGGCTTGAGGGCAAAAGAGAAAGTGGAGTGCCGGGTCCCACCACACACCCCAATCACTTTTTGCAGGAGGCTAAAGCAAACCAAACACCTGTTAGCTGTTTTAACCCATGGGTTCGTACCAAGCGCAGGTTACAAGGGCCTTCAGAGACACAGTGTGGTGGCCCAGGGCCACGGTGGACAAATGAGTGGGGCCCTGGTCGCCGGGAAACTACAGGCCTGCTCACCTCTGCTCTTCCCAGCCTTTACTCAGCCATGACTCTGGGAACTTTCCCCTTTTCTCTTGGATCACTATGCTTCTTGCCTCCCCCCAAACTGGGCGTTCTAAAACCACTCAGAAAAGCTAAAGATCAACTAGAGGGGGTAAGGTAGAGTTAGGTGTTTCGAGTGGTAAGTCTATAAAATCAACCACAGCACTTATTAATACCATGGGCTTATCACTGATGTATCCAAGACAACCCGAACAATCACAGTCTGCCCTCCAGGTCCTCTATTCCCGGATACACCAGGGCAATGAGAGGAAAGCGACACCACTCATGCTTCTGCGCTTCATTTAAACTAAGAACTTCCCCGTGAATCAGATGCTGGATCTGGTTACTGTGATCTTCAAACCAGCCTGAATATTGAAAGTCTAGGGTGAGAACAGGGAAGAGATCAGAAGTGTTGGAGACCTTAGTCAACTAGTTGCTGGTGAATTTTTATAAAAATCCCTTGGCTGGAAGACTTTTTATGAAACACTGTGTTTTCCTAAAATAAAAATGTGTGGGGTTTTTTTGGCACCAATTTGTTTTATTGAAGAATTTAATGTGGCCAACCTTGTCAATACTGTGAGTAAAGAAACACATCTCTACATCTCCTAATCCAAAGGGGTTGCTTATGCACAAGGAGAAATGAAGGTGGCAGGTCCAGAAACCTTTGGTTTTCCAGTTCCATGATGACGTGAAGGAATAAGAATCCAACAAGACTGAGAGAAGAAGATGAAGCAGCAGACAACAACTTTGCTCCTCCTTCGCTAACTGACAGACCTTTGCCTTCCTCTGGCCTTCCCCTCTCATCTTAGGGTTAGACAGTGAACAGAGACCTCTCCTCTGGTACTATTTCCCTGCCAGGGTGGTCATTTTGCAGACATAATTATCTCCTAGCATCTCACAATATGAAAGACAGAGGGAGGGTAAAAAAGGGAAATATTTTTAAAATATACAATAAAATATAGCAACCAATTCCTTTTCGGACTTACCAAATGCTGGTGTGCTAGAAATAGCCACTGGCTGCTGTTTCATGATGGGGGGAAGTGCGGAGGGGAGTTGATATCCCTGGAGCTTCAGTTTGATGAGTTTCATGGCTATGGAAAACTCCACCTGATCCATCCTCCCATCGTTATTCATGTCAGCGAGCGCCCTGCAAACAACACACGGACTTAGCACTGCCCCACGACCAGTGCCGCCCAGGCAAGCGCACAGCGGCTCCCTGTCTCTGGGGGGAGGACAGAACCAAGCAGGATTTGCTGACCAAGCTATAGGAAATGACTGGGGAAAGAGACAAGGTTTTATTTAACTACAAATCCGTTTCATTGTGTCACTCTTCACACCTAATGACACATAGGTTATTTTCAGTCTGAGCTTAAGATACTCACACAGTTCTGAACAGACTGACAACCAAGACCCTTCAAAAGGGTGAATTTATGACATCATGATAAAGCTGTCAGAAAACAGAGACAACGACTAGGACATTTGGCCAGTGGCATGAAGTCCAGGGGGACAACAGCCCAGACCAGGCAGAACATGCTCTGTAGCTGTGCAACTACTAAGTGACTCCTGAAGCTGTTCAAGCTGTCCTTCTACAAACGTGTTGAGTATTTGTTCATTCAGATTCAATTTCTTTTCATCTACATATTAAACAGCATGAGGATTTACTTTTTAAATCTAAAGATTTTATTTGAAATATCAAGTGATCAGACCAGCTGCTCCAATGTGACTAGCAACCTTTTAAATGAGCCACGTGCAGCGTCCAAAACAGAGAACTGGGTTTAACAGAAAATAAGTCTTACATTGTTCAAGAGACAAAAGACACACTGCATAACAAAAGCTAAAATTCTTAAAAATTGTAGTAAGAGTCAACACTACTCTTTCAGAAATAAAGGTCATAAGACAGGAAATGGAAGTTTGCGGCTGCCGGAAGCTCCTCTTTGCCTCAGATAGGAGCACCCCAGGCCCTGCAGCCAGGGTCCCTTAAGCCAGGGGTCCCCTTTGGTGGACCACACCAGTAGACTCTGAACCCCACTCAGCACCAGTGAGCCTGAGTGCCGCTTTCCATGTTTCTTAGTAACCTGGCTTCATATTTCTAGGAATTACCCATTGGTATCCTTTGCCAAGTTTCCTGATGGACTACAGGTCTTTTTCTTGCCAGCTATTAAGAGCTCACGGTATAGTTCACATTCACTGTTTATGGTCAATGGTGAAAACATTTTTAAACTTTTATCATCTGTTCATTTGTATTAAATATCTTTTACTGTATAGAAATTGTATGTTCTATATGTAAAATATCTCTTATCACATAGTTTGTACATTCAGTCCATTTTTTTCTCAGATTGAATTTTTATTACATTTCAATCATGAAACCGACTGCAAAGAGTGTGTATGTATACCATGTAACTCCAGGATTCAACTGTATTTTTCTAATAGATTCCTAGCTTTCCCAGTAAGGTTAACCAATGCATCCTCTTCTCACTGATCTAAAAAGTATTTGCTCAATGACGTGAGATCACTAAATATGATGCTGGAGTTAATGCCAGATTATCTATCTGGACTGACACCTTGCAGGTCTACCCAGCCCTGGTTCATCATACTGCTCTACAGTATGTCCTGTACCTGACAAAGCTTTTGTTTTTAATTCCACTTTATTTGGCTACTCAAAGAAGTTTCTCTGTCAATTCTACGCATAACCCTCTAAGGATCCAAGTTAAAACGTCACTAGAGATGTTAATTGATGGAGAACTGACATATTTATGATCATTTGTCTACCAAAGAAAAATGACATGGTTTTCCATTTGTTCAGCTCTTCTAATAATCCCATTAGTGAGACTGTAGTGATTTCTTAATGTAATTGCTTTTCTTGGCACATGTATTCAAATATCAGGAATTTTGTCATTTTGCTCACGACTTGGAACATGTTTGGGTGCTCCCACATCCATACTGAGGTGCAAGAATAGCGAGAATAAATATTAATGCTGTATTTGGTTATCTTACCTAACTTGGAGAAATCCTACTGACTTTTTAAATAAAAATCTTGTAGGTTTGAGAAGTATACAATCACACAGCCAACAAAAGAAAGGGGAGATAATTTTCCATTATTTATTCCTCTTTTTCAGTAATCTTACTCCCTCTGAGATAGTGAGACATTGCTGAGTGTGGGTGGGCTTGGCTCGGCGTGTCAGTGCAATGCCTGCCGAATCTCGCTGTTCAGAACGCCACTTGGCAGCGTCTACTTAAGCGGTCCCCTCTCCTGCTGGTTAGAAATGGCTACTACATTTTGTATCAAGGCCTACTCAGCATCTGCTGAGCTGACCACAAGTTTTGCCCCTCTTTTTTCTGCAGGCGCAATAATGTGGAGAGAATTTCTTGACTGTGCCCTGGCATGCCCTCATGTTGGTCAAAGGCTAGTAAGAGGCAAATATAGGAGGCTGGGACTGGGATGAAGGGACAGGAGAGAGAGTGGGATGTCTTGTATAATTTTGGTTTCTGAAACCCTGTTTATGTGCTGTCTTCAAAAATAAAATTCAGTCCCCAAAGAGGATTCCCAACCTGAGCAAGGACACAAACTAACCTAGTAGTTTAGATAAATAACACATCCGCACTGAGGAGGCAAGAAAACTACTCCATCACTTCTGAACACAGACCTGCATCGCTCCTCAGTGTGTCACAAAAACCGTGACGCGCCCTTGAGCTGGTGTGGCGGTACGAGGCAGCAGAGCTGCAACTGCTCTGCATGTGTCGCAGTGTCAAGGCGCCCCCTTCCAAGCAGAGCTCCCTCTCATCCCCTCTGCTCTCCTCAGATCTTCAAGCTCCCCTTTGGGGGCCCCTACAACCTCATTCCAAAGCCCTTGTTCTGCGCCTTTTTCTTTCCTGTGCCTTTCAGGCTCTGGTCCACTCCCCTCTGCTTCCCTCTCCTCTGTCTCCACACCCGGGCGAGGCTGGAGCAGTTGTAAGCATTAAGTTGCCAAAGGGATTTACGGTATTTGCCAATTTCCTTCCCGTTCCTTCTCAGTCAGACAATTTCTAGGAAGATGTGTATCATCTTTGGCCGCTGTGTTAATTTGGCATTACGCTCACTGGCTGCACTCCATCCTCTGAGAATTCAGATTTTCTTGTATTCTTAATTTGAAGTTGGGTTGGACAATAGCTCTGTTTGGGAGGATAAGTAGGCCCAAAGGATTAGTAGGTTACAGTTCAAAAGGACCTGGCACAGTTTCTACCGGGAACAAAAATTATAAAAGTTTCTAACATATATTCCCCAGCATGCTGTGAATACTCCAAAGTCAAACTCAAACCCGTTCCTCTCGCCACCAAGACGGGCATGGGCCTTCGCTGTGGCCCCGCCAGGATGGTCCAGGTGACAAAACAAGACGAGCATGGGTGATCGTGGGGAGAAGCTGTTGCATTAGGCCTGCTGTTAGTAGCTACAGATTTAAAAAAACCAAAATGTGAGCGGTGGAGTACTGCCCAGGCGAGCGGGAGGCCGCAGCCCCAGCCCTGCCATGCCCACTGGGGCAGCTCTTTCCTTTTCCGGCCCCCTTTTTTTTCCGGGGTTTTTTTTCCCCCCCGCCGCGCAGTTCTTTTTTTAATCATGGTGTGCTGTCTTTATTTTATTTAGTGTCGTGTCAGAAATCAAGTCCCGAAGCAAAAATAATAATAATAACCATTTTTAATTCAGCCTGCCCATCATCACCTTTACTGTTAACATTTTCACAATGAAAACACCAAGAAATGTGACTTCACTACACATAGCAAAACTCAATTTGGACAACTGTCAATGATAAAATTAAATTACCTGGCTAATCCTTCCTGTCACTCCCGTATGCACATTACCACACAGCAATTGTCATGCTACTACTAACCATCCTCCGCGATGGGACCGCGAGGAAGCACAGATTCTGCCTGCTCACTGCTTATTTCCAGCATCCACACTAGTCACTGACCCTGGGCCGATCCCTGAAAACATGATCCCACCCGTTACAGCACACTTCCTGTCCAAAAGACTGCTTCTTGAATGAACCTTCAAAAATTGGGACCGCAGCAAAAAGGCAGCCTTGAGTGGAGGAAGTGAATCCTGGGAAACGAAGATTCTAGTGCCTGCACTCGGGTGTGTGAAAGACATTCGTCTACTAGAACACCAAGCAAAGAAGCCTGTCCCCGGGAACGCAGATGTCTCGGGTCTCCATTCATACTGGGGCACTTCACCGGCAGGTCAGTGACTTGTGCTCACACACACCAGTGCGCTCTCCCTGCCTCTCCCCGTCTCTTGGCTGTTTAGTAACTTTAAAAGTAGCCCCAAAAGTGTCTGATTTTTCTAGCTCAAAGTAAACCAGAAGTTAGAACTAGAGGGCAGCGCAGAAGAGGCACATGAGTCGAGACAGAATGGCAGCCACTGTGCTCACCCCTGGGAAAGAGCAAGAGAGCAGACACCCCAAAAAGCACAGCACTCAGGTATCTTTGGTTCTCATTCCACGCAGATGTGTGAATGTGCGCGCCTTGCCTTTGCTATCCCAGAGCAGTGAACTATCTTCATCCTGATGACACTTCTGAGCATGCTCTGACTATGTTCTACAGGCTCTGCTGGAAGGCAGCAAGGAACTGTGTCAACCTGTGCTCATTCCCATAAAGTTATAAATAACGAAGTTCGCTTGGGTAAGGGAACGGGCAATAGAATCATATGGAAAGCCCTGCCCCCGAGGACAAGAGCAGCTCCCTCCTCGGGTCTGTTCTGACCCTGTCCTGTGCTGGGTCCAAGCACTAGGCCTTCAGAGTTTCTCTGCAATGCTCTCAGCACCTTCTGAGGAAAGGACGAGTCTTTCATTTTCCAGATTACAAAGCCAAGGTTAGAAAGGATAAATACATGCTTCCAAATCACAAAGGCAGGCATGTTTGAATCTGGGGCTCAGAGCACATGCTTTTCCTACTACAGTGGCTGAGTCTACACCACCACAAACCCAGGGAGATCAGGCAATAGCCACCAGAACCATACAGTGGGGGAGATACAACTTCATGTGGACCTACAGCCCAAACTGTATTTGCCACCTGCCTGAGTCATTCTCTCTCCTTCCTTCCTTCCTTCCTTCCTTCCTCCCTTCCTTCCTCCCTCCCTCCCTCCCTTCCTTCCTTTCTTTCTTTCAGTTTCAAGAGATTTCTGAGCCCGTGTGTGTGAGAGTTAATCAAGGGATGTAACAATATTCACTATGCATTCAACCTTACACAAGATTGTAATAAATCATGGTTAGTTCACTGGGACCCTCAAATTTTTTATCTTTTATTCAACGGAATTAAAGAACTAATACAATATTAACCTACAATAAGGGAAACTCAGGTGAGTATGGGTGAGGTGGCTGAAGTTAAGAAACACGGGTACGAAAATATCAAAATACAAGTTTCACCACGGGAAATTCAACATTTTGGCAATGTTGCCTTGCTCCAGTTTTTTCTTACATTCCATATTAGACACTTTTCAGAAGCATTTCTGTGCTAAGTAGCACAGTGTTTCACACCAGAGAGACATGTTCTTTACATTTTAAGAACTAACTTTACTGGAATCTTTTATTTTTACCTTTGGTTTTACTGAAGTTCCAACTTACCATATCTGTGCTAAAACAGGTTGAGGTAACCCAGATTGAAAAAAAAAGTTTCGAGCTTGATCACCTGTAAATTGAATGAAAAAAGTTTCAGAAGAAAGCGATAGCTGACAGAAATCCTCTTATGACAAAATTATAGAAGTAGAGAGGTTGATGATCCTCTAAATACTGAACTGAATACATGATAAAATCTAAATGCTAAGTCTGTAAGTAAAGTGTGAATCCTGTAAGCAAAATGAATCCACTAGCACTGACCTTAGCACTTAATGCTTGAAAAATATTCCCCAAAGAGGCCTATCATTTGCAGAGGTGGATTGCCAGCTTTAATTACTCTATCATTAATTAAGGCAGCGGCAGTTGTACATTATGACAAAGCACACCTACAGGAGTCCTCAGGAAATGGATGCCCTGACTTTTGCTTTATTAAAAAGAAAATCTGGGCCCTCCCTGGTGGTGCAGCAGGTTAAAGTGCAGCACTGTGAAGATAGCCACAGCTGCTTCAGTGCGAGCTCGATCCCGGTGAGAGAGCTACCCACAGGGCGTGCAGACCTCTCCTTTCTCCCTGCCGCTCCCCTCAGCAGTGTGCTTTGTCAGTTGGCCTGTTCTGCCCCCCACTCTGTCTCTGGTGAATCCTCTCAGTGCCCCTGCACCTCTGGACTGTACCCCAGGTCTGTGTGCATAAATAAATAAATAAATCTTTAAAAAAAAAAATAGAGGAGGGCCCTCCCTGGTGGTACAACAGGTTAGGACACAGCACTACAAGCAGCCACTTCAGTGCAACTTCGATCCCCAGCCCCGGGGGTGACCCACATGGCACAGCAGGCCTCTTCTGACCTGCCCACTGCTCCCCTCAGCAGTGTCCATCTGCTGGTTCTGTTCCCCACTCTGTCTCTGGTGAATCCTCTTACCACCCCCTGTACCACTGGCCTGTACCTCAATTCTGTATGTCTAAATAAGTCAATAAATCTTAAAAAAAAAAAAAAAAAAGGGAAAAAATCTTTGCCATTCCTAATCTACACTTAAATTTTTCAATACTTTTAATATCTTTATGGAGAAGTATCAATGATTTGAAAAATTATATTGATGATTATGAGATTCATAAATTAGGGAGAACCGTTAAGATATTCAAGTCCTCTTGAAATCTATCTCCCCTTTTCTCCTAAAGCTAATTCCTGAAGAGTAATCAAACTAATTCCTGAAGGAAAGACTAGCAGAAGCAAAAGAAAGCAAGCTGGGGTCACAGCAATAACAAAACTCCTCTTTTTTTTTTTTAAACATTTATTTATTTATGCATACAGAAATGACATACAGGCCAAAGGTGCAGGGGCGGTGAGAGGACTCACCAGAGTCAGAGTGGGGAGCAGCACAGGCAGATGGATAAAGTACACTGCTGAGGGGAGCAGTGGGGAGACAGGAGGGGTCTGCGTGCCCTGTGGGTCAGCTCCAGACAGGGATCGAACTCACAGGGAAGCAGCCTTGGCTAGCTTTGCAGTGCTGCACTTTAACCCATGTGCCACCAGGGAGGGCCGGAAAACTCCTCTTTTTAAATGATTTAAGTTTTCCAAACTGGTGCAAGACCAACATTTAAGAAAATGTTTTCATTTAAGGACCAGTGTTCAATTCTACTTGACTTTTAAAGAACTGATCTTAACCAAGACCTCTCAGTAGTCTGCTTGAAACAAGAGGCCTGCTCCCCACAGGCCTGAGTGTCTTCTAGAAAAGTAACTGAAGAAATACAAACTCAAGGCGACAGCAACATCAGTAAATGTCCCGTCAGTTATGCTCATCTTTATTTGACATAAAAATTTTTCCTTAGATATATGCACCACTGATAAGGAAAAACATAAATATTGACTCCAGTTACCAGTAATGAATCCAGAAATTGGCTTTAAGCTATGGAACTGTTGATCATGCTTTGCTCTCTCCTCCACAGTTATGGCCCAGATATCCAGGCTGCCTGTAATCCAAGAAAAGAAGCAAACTGTTCAATGAGAAAAGAAAAAGCACCTGCACACATTATTTCCAAAGTATTCTCAGAATCAGTGTATTATAAATTATAAATCGTATATTATAAATGACTTGATAAATTAACATGTTTATCCTTGGAAGTTAAACAAATAGAAAATTAAGAGAAAACAGTTACAAAAGAAAGGAGAAATTGGTTCACATTCTTTATATAAAAATTTACAATCTTATAGTTAGTGGGATGGTGTGGAGACATAGTGAGTTAATAATCATTTATTTACAAAAAGTAAACCAACAGACTAATTCAAAACTGCCTCGCAGACGGCTTCAATGTCACAGGTGAGCGCTGCGAAAGCAGCCAAGTACCACCGTGAGTTGCCTTTGTGATTCCACAAAGTCGTTTTAGGGTGATGGAAACATTCAAATACTGGCTGGCTGCGCAACCCTGCAAATTTACTAAGTATCACTGAATCATACAGTTAAAGCCAGTGATGTTTATAATCGGTCTAACTATACCTCACTAACGCAGTTTTGCCAAGTGGGCATCGTGGAGAAAAAATAAGGCAAACCAAAAGATTTAGATTCTCCTTCCGTTTCAACTCCAAGACCAGACACCCCTCACTTCTGAAAGCTTCCTCATTTGGCTCCGAGGCTTCCTCAAATCAGTTCACTGGATTGCAAGTACATTATACATGGGATTTCAAAAACAGAGACACTTCCCAAAGAAAGTGGCAAGAGGTAATATGTAAGTTTCATACAAAATGTCCAAGATGAAATCAAAATGCCTAAACATCTCATCTCCTGCGATGAGACAGGGCAGAGACTCATCCCAGCAACGCGCAGGAGAGGTTTTGATTGCTGTCAGAACTTATTCCTGAAGCTATAAACAACAGCAAAACCAAAAGTGCCTGTCCAGCTATTGAGAAGGTCGCTGAAGACAAAACCATAAAGCTAATGGTGCGGGCGTTTGCAGTCTGCTCTGCCAGGACCTGGGGGGACTGCGTGGCTGTGAGGGGGCAGCCGTGCTTCATGCCTCTCCCACTGCATCCATGACTGAGTCAGCTGCCGTGACGCGCCACGGGCACACTTGCTTAAAACAGCAGGAAGATGGCCAGGAGCAAGTCCAGAGTTGGACATCTTCCTAAGGTGTTAGGGAAAATACTTTTTGTTCTTGTTGTTGCAGACTGACATGTTTCAAGCAGATAAACTAAAGAAAAGCAAGGGCCATGCTTTCAATCCAGGCTTCAGAAAAAAACAGACCACCCAGTTACTTCAACAAACACACTGCAGAGGAAAAACAGGTGGACAAGGAGATTATTAATGGAGAAAATGGGACACAAGAAGGAACTACATCTGTACCTCCTTTGCATCCTGATATGACCAAAAAAAAAAAAAAAAGCCTAAAGATTATCAGGGAAATTTAACAATCACTTGAAGACATGAAGAGATCCCATCAATTTTACAGTTGTGACAATGACACTGTAGCTAAGTCTTCAAAAGTGCTATATTTTAGAAACACATGCTAACATATTTGTGGGTGAAATGGTATGATTAAAATAAAAACAGTAAGATGCCTGCAAGTTGCTTCAGAAGAATCCTGATGACAGACACTGCCCGGGAGCTGGTCATCTCCAAGCACAGCCGGGTCACGAGGGCAGGCCTGTCATGCTCTCCACTCTCACACAGACAGTGCATTTGCCGAAACACTGGGTTTTTTAAAATGACTACACGGAACATTTCAAAACAGGAAAAGCACTGAGACTTACCACCAAAAGGCGCTGGAAACTGAGCCATGGTGCCGTACGTTTACCTTGCTAAGGGACGCCTGCAATTGAAGCACAGAATTTAAGTTTACCTCGCCTTCGCTCCTCTCCACTTACTGACACACCAACTCTGTCAGTAAGGATCACCAGACAGAGAGGTGGGCCAGCACGACAAATCAGAGTTACAAACAGAGGGGCCGCGCGCTCCTCTGTGCAGAGCCCAGGGCCAGGCACCCGGGGCTCGGGGAGTATGCATGGAAGGCTCTTGTAAGAAGCCTCCAGTCTGGACGGTGGCCAGCAGCTCAGAACAGCCGCCGAGCCCCCGCGGGCGTATCCGCTCCTTTTAGCGTGCATCTTCTCTCATCCCCACAAAGTCACCCCTCTTGATTGCCGGGGCAGCAGCTCCTGTTACTGGGCACTGAGCACATGCCATACGCTGTATAAAGTAGTCACAGGTTTTCTCTTGCCGTCCTCATCATCAGCCTATGAGACAGGTACTGCTGTCACCCTTCCCCACGACGGAGGGGAAGACAAGGCTCAGGAAGAGATGAGAGCAGTCTCACAGGACTGGTGACCAAGTTGGGTTTGAACAGGGGACCCAAAATCCACAGCAAGCCCACCATGAAAAACAGTGCCGTGGCCGCTGTAGTTTTTGACAAAGGCTAAAAACAATTAACGTAACACACTAATGATGACCCAAACACCCAGCAGAAACCCAAATCTCTGAAGTACCCAGGGGACATTCATTATTTGCCCATGAACAGCCAAGTGAGTCCTCTTCCCCAGTTATAAAACCCCCACATTTTCCCTGTTTAATTTAACATGGCGAGTACACACAGTGAAAGGTGAGTACTAAGTATTCACACTTTTAAGTTAAATCAATTCAGATGCAAAAAGGACAGTGTCTGGCCCCAATACTCAATTTCATACTCATCTGTTCATGGAATTCTCCCACCCCAACTACCATTTTTAAATTTCCAAAAGCTCCTTGTTCTCAATACTGTTCCTAGCACTGTTCCCAGTCTCGGGGGGGGGGGGGGGGAGAAGAATTTGACATCTTTCACTCTTTCTCTGGTTGATTTTGCGTAGTTTTCTTATGTTTCTCCCACCATTTAGTTTCTTTTGTTTATTTGCTGGCTGTTTTGAGCCTCCCCTTTTACTGCGAAACGTCCCCCTATATATGGTGACCCTGGTGTGCTTCCTTCACATTTCAGACTGAAGTGCTGAAAAAACTCTCAAAAGCTAGGGGTGAGCAGCTAGCCTGCTGACAGCTGGGCTTCGCCATACAGTGACCAGATACACCCGGTCACCTTTGCCTCCCAAGGTCAGCGTGTAGGTTGCTCCACTGTGCCAGGGAAGGAAGCGCAGGGCCGGCCACTAGTTCCAGCATGCTTCCGTCTCCCCAGGAAGAGGGAGTGAAGTGGTCGCCTATCTGCCACAGAGGCAGAAGATGATCCAAAAGACACACACCTTTAGGGAATTTCCATTTTTCAGCATTACACCTGACCTCTGCCTCTGGAAACAGCTGGAGCCTCCACACACTCTGAAGCCTGGTGAGATGTGCTGGGCCTCCTCTCTATGCCCTTCCATGAGGTGCTGGGCTACATCCTCCCTGAATTCAGTCACACTCCCCTAGTCACTATTTTCCCACAGATGGTCAGCATCTTTTGTCACTGTCTTCTCTACTATTTTTTCCTTATGAGTTACCGTCTCTTATGCTCCCTTTGTGGTCATGGCAGATTGTAGGGAAGAAGAGGAAAGCATGTGGTCAAGCCCCATATTGAGCCAGCCATCTGTGAACCCAGTGTGCAGTGGCCACTTCTCACTACCAACTCCCTTTCGAAAGTGCAGCCGCAGTTTTAAAGTGCAGCTCTTATTCTCCATGACTCCCACTCAGCATGCTGTGGAGGTAAGCATGTAATTCGCCCAAAAATTTAACAGTATTTTACCTACTTAAACATCATTATGTTCTGGAAATCGATGTGTTATACATCTTTTTATTGAGCTTTAAAAAATAACAAGCTCTTATTTTAAGAGCATATTAATCCAACTATTGAATATCCTAAGATGGGAATACATTCTGTTGTCTCACTCCAATTCTTCATTCATTACAAAAGTAAAGTGACTTGTCTTCTTTGTACTCAGCCACTTTACCCTATTTTTAAAAAAATTAGTGCTCTCTTTCAGATGAGTCGCTTACATTTCCTAGATCTCTATCATCTATAAATGAAGAATCTAGTCTTACATTATTAGCCCAAACCAAATAAAACTAATTACATAATAGTTGAGAGATTTTTGTACTCCTCATTTTCACAGTGATGGGTTTGTTATTTCATAATTTAATAGATTTGTTTGTTGTTATATTTTAGTAAATAGCTGGCACCATGTGTAAACAGTTTCCTACTATTCCTATTTAACTTAAAATTTTTATTAGGAATCACTACTAAATTTCTTTCAACAGCTGTTAGCAAACCTAGTGAGATAACTCTGTTTCTCCTTCCACTAACATAGTAAATATCAGTAACGTGTTTCCTAATGTAAATCATTCTAGGATATATGTAATAAAGACACTTTCTTTTACTACAGAGCTAGAGACAACTTACTAGTATCTTTACAATTTCTGCTTAAGAAAATGTTACACATAATTCTATGCAATAAGGAAGAAAATCTTAGAGAAAAGGGAGGCATTTCTGCCTCACTGCAAATTTCCAAAGTTATCTTTTCTAAAGGTACAATACTTTTTTTAAGACAACAAAAATCACTGACAATATAAAGATAAAACCATTAAAAGATACCAAGAAAAAATGATTATCTTTTTGAAAAAACTATTTCAGAGGTGAGTTTGAATTAACCTTCAAGAAATACCTTTTATGAAAACCATTCCATAGAGAAAGGCTATTTTATGAGGATAGCACAATCTTAACTAAACAATGAAAGCATAAAATAGATAATTTTCAGGTATATATAGATACAAAAATTCCCTATCTTTCTTAAAATAGTTCAGTTATTTTTGAGGTCAGAGACAACTATACCGACTGTCATGGTCCAAAGTGTACTTTGTTCGTCAGCAGGCTCACTGCAAAGCATTTAAGAGCATTTGCTGTTTACCATTCTTCCCAGAATTCAGGAAATGCTCATCCAGATGTGAGTCTCTTCCCCACAGCCTTGCCCTTGCTATGAACAATTCTGCTTCCCCTGCCTCCACAGCCATCAGAAATGCCACCAGCGCCCCACGCCTGGCAACGAGTGCCCTCCTCCCCTCCCCCCACCTAGTTAAACCGCTGCTCCGCAAGTGTCACTGTCTCAGCTGTGGGATGATAAGGTCTCATCCAATAAAAACATCACTTCAGGGTGTGAACAAAATTGTACCTTCCAGGTTACTTGCTAATATAATACAAAATGTCCGATTGCCACTGTAAGGATGTAGATGGAACCCCCACCTACCTTTCTTCTAGTCACAAGTCCTTCAAATGCCATCCCCAGCTAGCTTCTCCTCAGCTCCCAGGGAACCTCAGACAAAAGCAGCAGCATGAAGATGGAGCAACTGGACCAGTACTTCCAGCCCACCTCCTTTTCAGCCCTCTGCTACAGAGGCAATCTAGGGTGAATGTATGTTGGTTTAAGGTATTTTGTTCCAATTCTGACATACATTTGTTGTATGTATTATGATAATTTGAAGAAATAAGATAATTTGTAAAGGCTGGTATTTTTTTTAAATTCCACAGATCCAAGATTTTAAATGTCACAAAGCAGATTTCTGGTTCAGCTCTAGCAGCATAAACCCACGGCAGTTTTCCTGACCCATTTAAAGCTAAAAGTTCTGGGCAGAACACCAAAGTCACTAACCGAGGGCACTAAGGAGTAAACAGAGTCAATCAGATCTGGGGAAGAAACTCCAAGTTGTCCGACTGTGTTCAATTTTCTCTAGCAGCTCTGTCCCCAAGAGGGAGCCCAGTCATGGACTTACACAGTGAACCAGAAGTGCAAAGTGTAGAAGTGAGAGAAGCCCGGTCTTTTCTAGCCAAAAAGCTAATGAAAAGGTTTTCATGGCCGGGAGAGCCGTGGAAAAAAGAAAGCTGGGGAAGGGGCGCCGCTGACTCTGTGTTTACACACCCACAAGTCTCCGCTCACAGTTGAGTTGTCGACGTGCTGCACAGACCGATAGCACTGGCCTTGAAATCTGGCCTCAGTGGGACCTAAACAGGATGAAGACCTGCTGAAACAGACGGCACTGGCCAGGGGCCCCAACACCCCCAACCTAAACAACAAGGAACTCACCCACTGGAGATGGAATCCAGAGGAACTAGAAAATCTCAGGAATTCTAAAAAAAAAAAAAAAAGCAACCAAATAGGTGCGATGCTCTAGATGATACAAAAGTCACAATTACCACAAAAGACTTGAAAAAGCAACAATGGAGGTCAGGCCCCATAAGGGAGTGCTAAACTCCAATGAAGTGACTGGAAGCTGGAAGATCTCAGGAGAGAAAGAAAAACATCAAAAAAAAAAGCAGGGAAATTTCTGAGACACTTAGGTCTTGATGAATGTAAGAAGAGCAACAGAAATAGTGAAGATCTAAGTAATAAATAAGATTTCCCTACAAAGGTCTTTAAGAAATGTAGACAGCTGACAGCAAATACTGCAACATAGAAGAGAGGAGTTTCAGTGTATGTAACTGTTACACACAGGGCCACAAGCCTACATTTGACTTGAAATGATACAATGTTAACTAGACTATGAAAGTGGGTGAATTATTTAACCCCAGAAATAACTGATCAAAAAATAAATCAGAGATAATTTAGTCCAGATAATGTAACATATTAAATCAGAGATAATTTAGTCCAGATAATGTAACATATTAACATAAATAAAAATTTAGAAATTTTTATCCCTTGGGACAACACAAAGCTGTATTTATTCAATACATAAACAATAGGCTCTGGTACTTATTTTTATCTCCTTATCAAAGCCTTCTAAGAATGTCTTAGAAGAGCTGACTTCTTTCTAAGTGCTTCCCTCACTCAAGTAACACCTTGAAGCTCTACTCCCAGAATTAGAGAGAAGGATCTACCTCTAAGAGGCCAAACCTACAAGCTGCTTCAGCCAGGGTTAGTAACATGATCCTCACTGTGGAGGAGTTTATAATTAACTCATACAAATCAATAGCAAAATGCAAATAACACAATTCAAAAATATGCAAAATATCTTTTTTCCATTAGGGCGGATACAACTGGCTCACAGACGCTTGCCAAGAGGTCGGCATCACACTCATCAGGGTGATGCAAATCAAAACCACAGTGCACTAGCGCGTCCACTTGTTGGGAGAGTTATTAAAAAGACAAGCCAGGACCTCCCAAGTGGTGCAGCAGGTTGGGACGCAGCACTGCGAAGCTAACCACGGCCACTTCAGCACAAGTTCGATCCCTGCCCTGGAGCTGACCCACAGGAGCTGTCTCCCCGCTGCTCCCCTCAGCAGTGTACTTCACTGATCTGTCGGTTCTGCACCTGCTCTGTCTCTGGTGAATCCTCTCACCACCCTTGCACCTCTGTCCTGTACCCCAGCTCTGTATGCACAAGTAAATAAATCTTTAAAAAAAAAAAAAAAAGACAAGCAATAACAAATGCTGAAGGAGCAGGGAGAAAAGGGAGCCTGTGCACTGTGCTGGGGATGTGAGCAGGTACAGCCACTCTGGCTGACTTCCTCAAATCAGTGCACACTGAGCTAGCACACTGTGCCAACAGGCACAGGCAGGCTCACTACCAATTCAGCAGATGAATAAGGACAGCCCCAGAGCCCTCAGTGGCCCTTTCAGGCTTTAGTGCTCCCAGGGACCAGGCAGGAGGAGACAGGCACCGCCCAGCAGGGGGCGGAGGGGTTGGGAGGCTGGCAAGTCCCAAAGCCCCCAGTGACCCCTTAGCTCTTCCTGGGGTCTCTCTGGCCGCTCTGGCCGCTCTCTCATGAACTCTGCAGTCACGGCGCTTGTTCTCTCGCAGCCGGAGCGGTCTCTGAGTGACGCCGCCCATAGAGCCCAGCCTCTAGGCTCAGATGAGCCCGCTGATGCATGCCCACACTCATGCTCCATGTGTCCACATCAGGCACGCGCGCCATGCGCCCGCGTTCCCAAGTGCTTTCTGCATCAACATGATCAAGAAACGGAAGCAGAACCTTGATGAGATAGAACTTCCATGTTCATTGCAGCATTACCCACAGTAGCTAAGTTAGTTAAGTATTTGTGGGTGTAGGGCCAGTGAATGAATCGGCTTTTTAGTCACCCACTTCTGTGGCTGTCATCTGTGCCGAGGGGCACGAGGACATGTTCCTGCTTGCAAACATCTGAAGCTTGGTCGTGAGCATGCATATGTGTGCACACCGGTGCCGAGAGGCCAGCGATGGAAGGGCAGCGTCACTCAGAGTTGGAGGACAGCTGTGAGAGGACCCGTGTGTACAGGAGAGGGAGACCACAAGAACGCCAGAGTCCAGAAAGAGCGTAAAGACTCAAAGGAGGCTGGGAGGCTCAGTTTCCTCCCAAGCACCCAGCCTACCTGCACCTGACTGCCCACCATAACGGGTAAAGAAAATGTAGCAGGAACACACACACATTACAGTACCATACAGCCATTTGAAAAGGGAGATCCTGCCATTTGCCATATGAAATGGATGAAACTGGAGGACCTTTCGCTAAGTGAAGAATGACAGTCACAGAAAGACATGGATGACCCCACATAGAGGTGGAAACTCACAAAGTCTTAACTCAGAACCAGGAAGTAGAACAGTGCTTGCCTGGACTAGGGTGGAGAAGAGAAGATGCTAATCACAGGGTACAAACTTTCAGGTATTTTCAGGTATAAGTCCAGCAATCTCTGGAGTCTGTAGTACTGCATGGTGACTACAGTTAATAATACTTGATACTTGTAAATAGAACTAAAGCATCTCTCTGGCACACACTGGTAACTGTGAGGTGGAGATGTGCTAATTAGCTTGATCGCATAATCATTTCACAATGTGTCTGTTACATTAAATCATCACGTTGTATGACCAGGCTATCCTTTTTGTCACGTATACCTCAGCAAAACTGGGGAAGGGTGGAGGGGGCAGGAGTTTACAACTATGCAGGAATGGGAAAAACACATTAAAAAATCTGTGTGGTCTTTCCATGAAATGGTGCCAAAGTAAAAAAGAAAGCCTCTTGCCCCACCCAAAGCTAAAGACTTGAAGGCCAAGAGGGCTGAAAGGTGCCCGCGGCCACAAGCAAAACAAGACCCACCCGTCACCTGCCCTTTGGAGGTCCAAGACTCAGGAGATCCTGAAAGCAGCCCAGACAGCCCGGGAAGAGCCCTGGCCCCTATGCCATCTCCAGGTCCCCCGACTGCCGAGTCAGCCTAGAGAAGACAGACGACAGCAACCCGTGTGTGCTCAAGGTGACACGGAGGACAAAAGCAGCAGGTGCGGCAGACTGAAGCAGCATGCACTGGTCAGCCGAGCACACACCGGTCAGGCCGAGACCAGTGGCTGATCAGCCCAGTGGAGACACAGCGGGAGTGACTGGCGCCTGACTTGGGCACTTTGGATGTCGCCGACAACGCTGGGGTCATCAGAACTGAGGCCAGCTGTCTAAGTCTAAAGGTATCTTTTCTTAACCATAAAAAATAATGTGGGGCTCTCCCTGGTGGCGCAGTGGGTTAAAGCACAGCACCAAGAAGCTTAAGCCACTTCCACATGAGTTCAATTCCCTCCTGCCCCGGAGGAGATCCACATGGCGTGGCAGACCCCTCCTGACCCGCCCGCTGCTCCCCTCAGCAGTGTACTTCGTCGACCTGCCTGTTCTGCTCCCCACTCTGTCTCTGGTGAAGCCTCTCACCCTCTGCATCTCTGGCCTGTACCCCAGTTATGTATAAATAAATAAATCTTAAAAAAAAAAATAATAATGTGTATGTGGCCCTCCCTGGTGGTGCAGCGGGTTAAAAGCACAGCACAAAGAGACTTAAGCTGCTTCCACATGAGTTCGATCCCCGCCTGCCCGGGAAGAGATCCACATGGCGCGGCAGACCTCTCCTGACCCGCCCGCTGCTCCCTCAGCAGTGTCCTTCGTCGATCTGCCTGTTCTGCTCCCCACTCTGTCTCTGGTGAATCCTCTCACCCTCCACATCTCTAGCCTGTACTCCAGTTCTGTACGAATAAATAAATAAATCTTTTAAAAAAATGTGTATGTATATAGCGAGATGTAAGCAACAAATAATTAAAACTTTAAAAAGTGTTTACTAGTACACCTGACCTGTAACAGCCAATTTATCCAATTAACACAGTGGGGGCATGGTAAAGGAGGACCCCACCTCTGACAGGTGTGGGCAGTGAGTCGCAGCTTTGCACTGCTAATAAGCAGCGAGAAAGGGGTGGTGTGGCCGTAGGGCCCATGACCATGACACATACTTGCAGAATAAGAACTTCATGAAATAAGCACAAATAGCCTGGCAAGCCAAGCAGGGTGCAGCTGGCGGGTGGAGAGGGA